TTGACAGAGTTCAGGGGCACGGCCCAGAGGAGGACAAGAGGAGGACAAGGCCCAGCCACAGAGCCCAGCCACAGAGTTCAGGGGCGCCACAGTTTTTTCTAAGATAGAACCCCAACAGTAAACTGTTTGGGGAACAACAGTAAACTGTTTGGGGAAAACCATATTCCCTGCTAAAAGATACTGCTGCAGGAAAAAACACCCCCTACAAGTCCAGTCTGACCCAGTAAAACCTGGTCTGTCTTTGACCTCCTTAAGTATTGGTTTTGTAACCTCCCCATCTCCAGTATTTCGGTCCAACTGACACCGAAACTCGGGCCAAGAGTCTGGTGACCAGCAAACTGGAATCTCCGATCAAACCGACCTGACAGGAACGGAACCGCCCGGTGGCCGTGTGTGGTGTGACCTAACCAGTGCTAACCGGTGAAACGTCATGATGAAGGTGACAGCTATGAAGGTGACACTTGATTAAGAAAACCACCATATATGAAGAGGATGTGAAAATTCAATTGGGAGGTGGGGTACTAATTAATTCGACTAATTGAGAGTCTGCATAAGAATATAGTTGCTATAGACCTTCTTCCTTCCAACGTAACCGCTCGTGACCCTTTGTCCATTGTAGGCGAATAGTTAGGTCCGGTGTTTTCGCCCAATTCAACCCAGTCAGTGTAAAACTGGTCAGACGGACTTAAGGATAGAATCCGCATCAAACGTGCAATGCTCGCCGTCAGGTTGAATGGCAGCGAGCCCCCTTGCGACATGTTGGACACCCTAGTCCCAGTCCTGACTTCTTCTGAGTGAATTACCCTTAAAGGCATGAGGCTTGGAGTGTGAAGCTCCAGGCCTCCAGACGTGTCCTCCCGATTCCCGATCTGTGGAAATACCCCCCCCCCAGCGCTGCTGAAAGCGCTCCTGATACCTACGAAACCGTCTCCAAACTGACAAAGGGAGCTGAGATGTCAGTGCGCCAGATCTCACTGCCGGATTGGGTCCTCTTCTTCTGGTTCTCTGACCTGAACATCCAGACACATGTGTCCATGTCCGTGTCGGCCGCCACGGCCAGGACTTCGCATCCATCCTCCTCCCAGCAAAAACATGAACCTAAGCCCCACTTGCCATGTCTCATAGTAGTGCCCCCCAGCAAAAAGGAACACGTAATTACTGCTATACCATGGTTCGTACATGCACACGAATACAAGTCAAGGTCCCCACCTACATGCACACGAAACCCGCTGGTTTCCACTTCCCTCGACAGAAACCAGACCTCAACCAGACCTCATGAGGTCCTCAAATCAGACCAACTCTCACCCCGCCTCCCTCAGTTTCCCTTGAAGAAAACAAAGTCAACCAAACTGTTCATCCGTGAACATCTAGTGGGGTGCCACCAATCCCCCAACAATACTTCCTGGGTAGGCACCATCCCCTCTGCCTCAAAGTAGGTCGTCATTGAGCCTCGGATCCTCAGTAGGTCGAGTCATCTGCCGAGATCTCGACGCTGTGGGGGCCAGGACTGAAGGCACTTCCAGTAATATCTTGGCCATCTTTTCCCAAACACTCCATCGGACTGGTATACATACCTAGATTCCCCCCCTGAAGCCACTCCAACGGAGGTATATATGCCTGTTCGATGAAGTGTCTGAGATGGGATCATCAGTTAAGGATGCTTCCTTGGGATCATCCTCCGATTGCCTTCTTCCGTTTGGGATCATTCATTCCTGTAAGATACGACCATGGACCATGAGAACGAGAAACGTCGTGCTAGTTCTCATGTGGGAACGGGGATCGGACATCGCAGCATGCAGCTTGCAGTGCATTCACGAAGAAAGCTGGCATCCCCTCTACCCGAAACATGCATGGGAATGGACTGACCTAGCCTATACATTCATTGACTGCTCAACAAAACCCCCCTTGAATGAACGGAAATAGACCAGTCTCATGGATTGAGTGAATCCCATAGGACGGGATGCTTCACAGTGATTTGATGTGGGGAAGTCTCTTCCCTTGGTGCAAGGATTTCTTCAGCCGACTATGCCAACCGAGCGAGGCATCGAGCTGTGACGAAGCCTACCCACCAGGCCGAAGAATCATTCACGCACTGGTTGTCATCACGCATTGTGACGAAACCCAAACCATTCATGGGACTACAAACCAATTAGGTTTCCTAAGGGTTGTTGCAATGATCTTGTAATTAGCTACATGCAATTATATAGATAGATAGATAGATAGATAGATAGATAGATAGATAGATGATAGATAGATAGATAGATAGATAGATAGATAGATAGATAGATAGATCAAAAGATTGAGAAGGAAGCATTCAATACACAAGGATTTTATGCAAATGGAATCATGCTTGCAAATTGTAGAGTCAAGGGTACACACATCATAGATCAATATGATATGGGATATGGACGGATATGAGCTATATTTATGATGGGCCATGTGAGTCTAGTACATACCCCTACGGGAAGGATTTCCGTGAAACACAATTCATTCGGCATGACAAGGGACTATATGACTATGTATATATAATATATCCCTGACAATCCAATCACGTACTATTATATAACTTACTTGGCCAATCATGCGGTTTTTACGTGTTTGGTGAGAAGTGTTTCTATTCACATACTTGGTGCCAAAGAATGTAAATGGGAACATCGTCGACTGGGAAGGGTGGATTGGAACAGACTGGGTGCAGCATGGTTCACTCTTTGGCAGGCATGAACATGCGTCGTCTGTGCCCAGTTGAACATCAAAGCGCGTAAAAATTGTTTGAAATTGCGTGACAGTATGTAAGTACGACAAACGCGGCGTGAAATTTCATGACATTGGTTCTGTTGAATCTTTGAACAAGCGGCATTGATTGAACAACGCCAAGTTGGGTTGACTTGAGCGGGGTGTGACCCGAGAAGTGTGTCCGACAATTGAGTCGTCCGAGCTGTGGCTTTGAGAGTTGGCGCTATTTACCGTTTTTTGTGGGTCTTGTCGGTATTTACAGTCTTTGCGCTCGAATCTGTAAATATCACGTGTTTGTATTCCCAAAAATTAAACCCTGGCTTGCCCGTATGTCCCAAATGAATTCAGCATTTCCCTCACAACCTATTGGCATACGAGATAGGATCTGGATCATTCTGCCATTGATACCAAACAATATAGAAATGACAAAATCTGATGCTTGGGGCCGGTCCCTGCAGGGCCCCTTTCCAATATCCAGGAGAATTTCCCCTATTCCCATGACCATCGAGAGATCGATACGCATGGCATTTGCTGGGGCCTCCGACGACCTCTAAGCGGCAACCAGAACGGAAGCCGCGCAGGTCGACGTCGATGCTTGAGCCGACCAGCATCGATGCGCAAGTATTGGTCAGTGGGTTCAGAAATGATCATAACTGGATGGATGTGGTCCAAAATGAAGACCCTGGTTTCACCGACAGGCTTTAGTTGATTTGTCCTTTACCAGTCGGGGGACCGTGGTAACCTATGCCGAAGCCATAGCCGCCATAGCCATTTATTTGGGAGGTCGAGGTATACAAAATGTATTGGAAGCCTTTTCTCGATCTAATTGGGAACCTCATGAGTTGTAAACGCACAGTTCTCATACCCACATACATGCACCTACCCTGCCAATGGGACAGTGCATTCAAACAAGCTACCCTAGCTGCCCTGCCAAGTAACGTTGATACTAGACTGACCACCCCCCAATTGCCCGGCAACATAGAGGTTCACCTTCTTCCATCTGTTGTATTCGAGCGGGAAAGGCCATCTCCAAAATAGGTGAACCTGTTAAACCACCACTTTTCCCGGGTAGGTCGAACACACCGAATTGGATGCTTCGTTCAGTCTACCACCGTCCTATCCTAGACGGATCAAATACGGATCGGACGATGGGCTCGCTCAGGAGCACTGTCTTCAATCTTTGGAGACCGTCTTTGGAATAGGAATGACAAAAGCACAAACCTCTGAATCACCCACTTTGCGGTCTTAACAGTTGGTTGAAACTCTCACTGTCATGAAGCAACACCTTCGAGGGAAAATCCGTGCTAGGGTTGCAACATATGCTCTATACAAAAACACCCAAACTGGACTCCGTGGTGGTCTCCTTCTATAAAGTCGGGGTCGCCGCTTTGATAAACAGTTCTGTTGTCCTTGGATTCGCTTAAGGAACTAGGAACACAACACAAGAAGAATCCCCAGATTACCCATTGGAACATAATGATCACCCTCAGCAAAGCGAGGTTTCTTGTGTTTTTCCTCTCATGTAAGATGAGTTGAGGCCTCAAACACTGAGGCCCCACCGGTCGTTCAGAACTACCAAGGTCGCCCCCGTTCCGCAGCCAAAAAAAAACACACATCCCGAAAGCGGTGATCCGCAGCCGCCCCAAGTGACATAGACAAATGATGCAGTTTTGTTCAAAAAGTGTATATAACATCCTAATTTGTCTTAGGAATGTGTACCTATACTTATTGACATTTGTCCAGGTTGCCCGGAATTGCATTCGGGATTCATAAAATTGTGATACGAGTTGGATCCTCAGTTTGGATGAACATGCTATGAATCTCAGAAAGTACTATGATCTTGACAAAATTGATACGGACTATCATACGTAATACGTATCGCTTTTCATCCACTTTCATGAACAGTGGTACGAACCCCGGGGGTGTACTTTCTTTTCTAGTACGTACAAACATCGAGGTCCAGGATATATAGTGTTTTGTTGGACGTGCAAGCCCATAAACACGACAACGCAATACTGTATAGAGCGTGGACATAATAATGCATGAATAGGGCCTCCCACTGTTCGTGAACCGATTTCGTGGCCCGGCTAAGCACCTGCTCCACATAGACTCCATGCATGTATGGCATATATTGGCATATATACTAACCTACATTGGGGATCAGTGGGGTGGTTAACCATGTGATCAATTGATCCGATGGTGCGACTTCGTGAGTGACTTCGCTATTCTTTTCCTCCCGGGAACCTCTGATCTGCACGCCCCGTGGCCCACGTAAGTGTCGTAGCCCGCAGGGAACTTCACCACAAAGTCATGCGCCGACGCCAGGCGCGCCGCAGCCTGCGTTTTCGACTGCCCAGACTTCGGGCAGGTTGTGGAAGGGATTTTGGACACGTATTACGGGACTCCAACACTCCATGCGGCTGGAATCGTTGCAAAGTGGCCTCTTTGGAGTCTGTAAGTGACCTCTTTATGGACTTATAAGTGACCTCAAACTGGGATCTCAAGTTCGGTCACTTTGAAGCTCCTGGTATATAAGCCCAGTAACGATGTTCCAGTCGAAGTGGACATGTCTGGACACTTCGCGTCATTCGGCGTGTCACTGGTGTTGTTTAGCTACGTCGCACGGTGTGTTGTTTCGATCTGACCAACCGGACCCAGTCGGTCCGGATGAGGGGAGCCAGAGAGAAGAGCTCCCGCGAAATGAACTATACCGGCTATACCAGCACCACCCAGGTGGGGTGGTTTATAGACCCCCTGGGCATGTACTTGCAGGCCAGTTCACTTGGTAGGTTCTTCATTTCCACGCTGGTTGACGGTCATTTCCACTAAAGTCTAAACCTTTCATCAGCTGAGTTTGCCATGGTCGGGCCGCTCAAACATGTCTTCTTACAGTTGACAGCATAGCCATCTCCCCAAGCATAGCCATCCCCGATGCCCCAGCCGTAGATGTTATAGGCTCCGGGAGTCTACCAACCACCTGACGAAACACCCGGCCCCCCCAACAAAAATGGCTTTCCGGCGGAGTAAAATGACTTTGGTATAAAGAACTTGACAGTAAAGATTGATTGACTACAGTAGTCATCTCCAAAACCACAGCTCCAGAACACAATGTCAGAAGTCAGGTGGAATCACACCACCAAATGTATTCCGTATTCCCAAACGCTCCAAACAGACTTTGGTCCGGGACAGCCTCCTAGCCTTCCGGGTCGTGGAGACCATAGAGGCGGAGCTCCTTACTTCTAATGAAGGATAGCCCTGCGCATTTCAGAAGTTTTGGCCCTGCGCAAGCGTGACTTTCAGTGGTCAACAAAGCACGTGTACATTGCATGCATTGCCCCAAGACTCCCCATCCGCCACCGCAACGACGCCAAAGTGATGTGATACGCGTCGTTCAGTTCATGTGATTCGCGAGAATCCAAAAGATCGGGACAGAACAGAAGGCGCCCTGGAGAGCTTACTGTGTTCTTCAGGTGGGCAAAGCCCTGGAAAAGAATGCGCATCTCAAAGACAATTTGAACAAAACATCTGCAGCTGAGTTCACGACTGCCTTGCTTGCCGAAACCTGACAGGTAGCCAGAAACCTGTATTGAGAATTTGGCAAATGCTCAGCACTGTGCAGGCGATATTGACTGTGCACACTTGCCACCCAGACATTAAAAAGAGCTTCCCAAGTGTTTCTTTGCTGTTGCAAGCGGTTGACACCTTCAGGTATGCAAGAAAAGACCTGACTGATCAGGAGCCACATGCAATGATTTTCATTGCTCCCCGCCCCCTCTCACTTTGATTTGCTTCAGGCCACCGGTGGTGCTGCCATTGAAGATGTCAACTCCACAGCTGAGGCAGGGTTCACCACCAGATGACCAAAGAGCGGAAGGGAACTAGTCCCTTTTTCATCTGGGCTAAACATTTCGTGTCTTCCTCCTCTCCACAGTGGCTCCCACGCTTCTCACTGTGTTGAGCTGGATGGTGTTTGCACCGGCCAGCTGGTATGGAATGTCATTCTTTACCCTCATCCTCTGGATTGGTCTTGTGCCACCACTTCCCTTGTAGAATCCTTCTAGCTGCGTGTGTGTCCTTGGGAACAATCACTTGCTTCTCTGTCTGGTTCACAAGAAAGATGCGGCACCCAATTGTGATCACCCAGCAGACAGCTCTCATGTGCTTTTCCCAGCTCTTCCCAGCTCCGCCTCCCATGTCAAAACCCCCCAACCCACGTCCGACCCCTCCACGTCGAGCTCCTCCGCGGTTGGACCCGCCCGCGTGGGTCCCTGAGAGTTGCCCCGCACCTCGATCTCCTCATCTGACACATCCCTGGCACATGCGGACCGTGGCAAGCCGTGGCCGGGGAGACGCGTCTGGACCTAAGCGCCGATGTTTGTGGAGACCTAGCCTGATGATTTGCTGGGATATGAAGCCACGATTGAAGCAAAAGGTGGAAGGCCTAGAGGGTCCAAATTCTATCTGACATACGTAAACCAGACCAGCAGTCTAGGGTCAACCTCTTCGGTTCATAGGAACCAAAGGTCACCGGACAAGGCCATGCTGGTTATCCACTGACAGACTCCCAAGTACAAAGGTTTCGTTGAGCGTCTGGAGCGAAGTCCTGATCTGCACGGTTCTTGGGGTCATACAGGATCGATGAGGAGAAGGCAAAAAACATGTAAATCCGCAACTCTCTGTGTCGTATCGAGTCTTGCTATATCATATGTGACTCTTGACAACAGAATCTGTCTGCCAAAACACTAAATACAAAAAAGAACTCAAGGGAGCATCTCCCACCACATCCTACGAAGCTTCTACAACGTTTCTACAACTACTTACAACTCTACCGGACTCAGACTCTACCTTTTTTTCACCCCAACAATTCGGATCCCAGCCATCAATCTTCAACCAATGGCATCACTCCCAACCGACACACGACGGATCGCCGCGGATCGACCTCCTTCACGACCGCAACCATGACGGATCGACCGTCTCCCGGTCGGGACGTCGCCCCGCCTGCGACAGCCATAGGTCAAGTTGTTCCGCACCGAAGTGTCGAAGAGCAAGGGCTGCTGCGCCACCTGCGGCTGGGCGGGCAAGGTCGGTGACGTGTCCAGCGGCAGAGATGCCACTTAAATCTGTTGTTAGTTCTTAGGTAGTCCCAGGCCGTCTGTCTTCGAAGAATAGACTCTTCATGCTTAGTCTATTTGGAATGCGGTCTTTGCGATGTCTCTCCATAACACAAGCGGTGCGCGCATGCTGCCTGCCTGCCTCTCCTGTAAACATGAATCAAAACGCGAAGTTGCACACCAGGAGTTCCAAAAGATGCAGGTCTGTAGGACATCTGTGTAGGAATTGCCCTGTATGTGATCATACTGGAGAGTGTCTTGGACGTCATATACAGCTGGTTTCCGTATGCAGATCTTGCTGAAACCCACCAATCTCGGGAGGCCCCACAACGCACGGAGGGCCACGCAGGGAGCTGAGTTCCAAACCAAGGCCATCTGCGCATGTAAGGCTGAGGTCTCCTCCCGGGTCCGGTCTCTGTCGGTCGCGACCGAAGAGGCTGCTCGTGACACACGCACAGCGCGCCAGTTGTTGGTTATGGGCTCAACAAATTCAGCGGCATCGAAAGAACAATTGTTGAAAAAATGCCGGTTTGTGTGGGACACTGTTCATATCTGTTCATCACTCGAGGTTTTTACAAATGATCTCAAATGTGTTTTTGGACATGTCGTTTTAAGAATCGGGACCCAACATTCGAAGTTTAGAGCCACAGTCATACCGTCATACCCCCCACCGAAGACACATTCCGAAGACGTCAAGGGTTGGAAGGTAATAGCTGCTATTAGCTTCCTCTCTCAGGCAGCTGAGTACTGGATAGGCCGTTGACATTGAGACATTAAAGCTCCGGAAAGGGGGGGTATCCCAGTGACTACCAACTGTGGGTTCATTCAAGATCCAAGTTAACGACCAGTTTGGGGTTGTGTTTTACAGTCCACGCCCGGTCTGCTCATCCATCGCCACTCACCCGGGTCCGATGCGTGAGGGATGCGTCAGTGGCCACTCTCGTGACCCATCTATTTAAATATACGTATTAGTCTTTACTGAATAACCCTTGCATTGTTCAGGGTTTTCACACTACAAAACCAATTAAATATAGCCTTTACTGAACCACCATCATTCGTGTTATGAAGAGTTTTCACACTACAAAACATCACAAAACCACATCAACCATTTGTTTAACATTTTCTTGGACTTCCCGGGCACTAGACCATACCGGCCCTCACGACTACCCATTTATTTTTGTGATGTTTTGTGGACAGGTACGGAGCAGGATCTGGCCGGGTACCAAGACACGCTGGTCCAACGATCTTTCGTACAAGATTTCAAAAGGAGCTCTCACTGAACAATTGAGCGGCTTTCAAAACCACTGAACATGAACAGTCACAGGGAGTATTTGGTTGAGTTGCTTTATGATCTCTTCATCCAAACCGTCGCATGGTCAAACCATGCAAACCTTCACTTCTCGCCGGTTCCCCGAAAAACTTCCGCCGTGAAACGGTGCGACCCGCCGATGCTCCCAATCGGAGAGTGGAACTCCGTCGACCAGGATTTCTCCCACCTACGGGACCGTGATGAGCTGCAGGACGCCCAGGGATGAACTGGGGGAGAGGGGTAAGGGGTACAGTTTCATGGGTTTGGAGTCCGGGGCTCTTCGTAGACTTGGAGTCCGGGGTTTGGAATCTGAGTTGGAGGATCTATTCTTTTGGAGCTTTCAGTTGGTCGACTCTGCTCAAAACATCATATATAGATCTTGAAGTCAATTAGATCCTGTTCGTTCTCGCATGTGGGTGGGTTTCCCAATGATCTGCATTCCGATGAGCATTGAAGGCGTTCACCTTAAAACCTATAGGCAAACACATGGAACACCGTTCCAACATGTGTGGAGAAGTTGCAGTTGTGAAGTTCAGAGCAATATGTCTTAAGCTAAGTTCTCTGCCGTGTTTCTTTGTTTTAACGCTTTGAATATATAGGGCCATGAGAGGTCCGGCCTGAGGGAGTCTGTGGATTATGAACATTTGAGACTCCGTGAAGTCAATGAACCTCTTGAGCTTCGTCACCACAAGGTTCCCGTTTATCGCCCAGGCCCCGAGGAAGCTGATGTTTCAGAGTACCGAGAGCTCGCGCATGTCACGTTCGTCACATGTCCTTGAATCTTCAGTTTTGATCCACGACCTACCTCCGTGCCCCCGGAATATTCTTCGGAAATTGTCCGATGGCATTTGAGGCCTCCACCCGCACCAGCCCAGTTTGGGTGGTTATTGGATGGAAAAGACGTCCTCAGGGGGGTCTATAAACCATCCAAACTGGATGGTGCTGGTATGTCGAGATTACATATGGAAATGAATGGACACGTTGGGTTGTAGACACGTTTGTTGATGTGTATGACAGACACTGGACATGGACGACCAACAGCAACATGTTCATCCATTGGGCCGTGTGCATGGCAAACACTTTTTCAGCTCCATTGCGGCAAAACTACACCGCCGTAGACTCCAAACAGTTTGTGTTCTTCAACCGGAACACTCTGCAACTAGAGTTTGCGACGTCCAGAGCTGGGAGACAAACGAATGCAAGAAATAACAGTCGAGAGCTGGAGACACGTTTAAAATTAAAGATTGCAAGGCAGAGGTGGATACAGCAGTCATTGCAAGGCAAGGCGGACACAGCAGCCCAGAGCTGGAGACACATGTAAAGGATTGCAAGCGAGAGGCGGACAGGGCAGTCCAGAGCTGGGAGACACATGCAAAGGATTGCAAGGCAGAGGCGGACACAGCAGCCCAGAGCTGTACTCCCTTTACTTCTGTACTCCCTCTGCCTTGATTCCCATTTGTCTCCCAGCTCTCAACTGCTGTGTTGCAATCGTAGAGAGACAAGAAGGGAAACAAAAGGAGACAGAAGGGAGACAAGCCGGACACAGTGACCAACAAGAAGGGAGACAAGACGTGAGACAAAGGAAGACAGGACTAAGACAAGGTGGACACAAGAAGGCAGACAAGAGACAAGGCGGACACAGTGGCCAACAAGAAGGGAGGCAAGACCGGAGACAGAAGGAAGACAAGGCGGACGCAATGACCAAAAAGCACCAGTGACAGACCTGGAAAACAAAAAATAGAAATGCTACATGGCCAGCGGAAAAGGGCATCGAGTGGTCAACTGCCAATGAGGCATGCGGACAATGTAGGCGAGCAAACATGAATGTACGAGTGGCAATTTTCCCTGCTTTCTCTTTTAACTTCCTGCCTTGAGGCAACGCCACTGCTTGAAAAGTGCCATGATGATTCGTATTCGTAGGTGACTGGACCGTGGTGCCACTTGCCGTCGAGACCCCACAGACCTTAAGTCCGTGTGTTCATTCACGCCTCAGGGAAATCGCTGACGGGCTTCAGATTTCATGTGTCATGATTGGCCAAGCGGCCGTCGTCGAAATCGTAGTAGAACATCCCGCTAGGTGCTTCGCCGCCTCTTGCGCCCGTCCGGGGAAAGTTTGCCCCCCCCACTCCGGTTAAGTTGTCCCCGTTCTCTGAGCAGTGCTGCCACCGCAGCCTGCGGACTGGCCATCATCCCGCACCTTCTTAGGCAGTCACTGGGTCCCATTTGTGAACTGTGGTCACACGTGTCATGGCCGCAGCCATCGTCGCAGGCACTTGAATAGTTGCAGGCCTCCCTTGCGAGGGTCCCTTAATGATCATTGGACACGCGCCAGCCCCTCCGCCAACCGCACGTGCGTCTGCTGATCCATGCCGTGGGTGTCCGTGCCCGGCGTGGCAAGTCGTGCGACCTCTTGGGCCATGTTCGACGGGCTCAGCACCAGTTCGGTCTTGCCCGTGGCCTCTAGTTGGCGATTTCTCGCCTCCAGCCTCCAGCTGAGCGGCCAGTGCCTCCAATGCAGGGGGGGCCGCCCCAGAGGCGGCCTCCGCCCTCAACGCCTTCCGTAGAGTGGCCGCAGCGCTTGCACTCAATCGCGCCGGCGCCTCCTCGGCCTCCTCTCTCGGCACTTTGTTGTGCCCAACACAATGGGCCGAACCCTCCCTGGTGCGGGAAAGCGCTGCCAGACAGGCCGCCCATCACTCCGTGCGCACCAAAGGAGACGTTTCGCGGGTCTCCAACCTAATGTTGGATCCTGATTAGTAAAGGCCCCCCCCCCTCCCCTCAAACAAACAGGGAGTCCTCTATAATAAACTGGATTCCTGTGAGAATTCCTTCTTGTAATTGATTGTAGTATTCATTTTCCTTTCATAGATTGTATTCAGCCTCCCTGTTGTAATTGTTCTCAGCAATCCTTTTGCTTTGCAGCCTCAGATCTTCAGCTCAAGAGAAGCCCCAAGCTTTTCCTCAGCTTCCATGGCTTCCTAAGTAAAGGAAGATTCCATGAGCAATTTTGTCCAGTGGAAAAAACTTTTCACAATTGAGGACCCAAAAACAAATTTGTTATTGAGGATCAGGTGCCTTCCTGGTCTACTACCTTGAAAATATGTTTAGGAGCAATGTTTAATAAAGGGTTTAATTGGGGAATTGGTGGTTTTGGTCAGCTGTCAGTTTTGAAGAAACCTATATCAGCTAATGAATCATAATCATTGGCCTCAGGAGCTAAGTAAAGGGGAGGTTCCATGCGCATTTTTTCCAGTGGAAAAAACTTTTCACAATTGAGGACCCAAAACAAAAAATATTATCGAGGATCACGTGCCTTCCTGGTCTACTACCTTGAAAATTTGTTTAGGAGCAATGTTTTATAAAGGGTTTAATTGGGGAATTGGTGGTTTTGGTCAGCTGTCAGTTTTGAAGAAACCTAGAGAAAGCTATATCAGCTAATGAATCATAATCATTGGCCTCAGAAGGAATTCAAACCCCTACTAATTAGGTTTCCAATTTAAACATTTAGGGTCCAAAAAAAGGTTAGCATTATTCAGGACCCATTTTTCCAACAGGGGGCTCTAAATAAATTTGGACAAATTTCGCATTATAGAGGGACCCTTTACTAATCGAGATCCAACATTAACGGGGGAGAACCGGTTCCCAACCCAAGTTGCGACATGGATGTCGCATGGCCCAGAACAGGCCAGAACGCAATCTCATGTCGACGTTGCGCGCACGGAATCAAGGATGTGCACGTTCATGTCCCCCCCTTCTGCGCTACAAACGTCCCCGGATTGTCCATAGCACTTCTTGGAATTCTTTTGCAAAGTGGTCGAGGACTTCATCGCTTCTCTCATGGGTCCTCCTGACGTTCTCCTACGTTTCTGGCACAGGTACTGCAGCCGGGAGGCGGATGGATCATAGTGGCCTCGGCAACAACAAACAAGATGGAACCCACGAACCCGAATGCAAACACGTACTCGAGAACAAACACCGAAAAAATACAATGACAGTCTTGTAGGACGCATTTTGTTCGGAAACCTTTGTGGGGCACTCTTGTGCACCCTTGCGGAACACTCTTGTAGGACTCTCTTGTGGCGCCATCCACTTCAGCAATCCTCCAACCTCTGGGTTGACATCATATCTGTCTGGAACGAGTGCTATCAATGACTGCTGGCGCCAAATCGGCGCGCCGGTTGAAATCGGCGAGATGTCAACTCGATCTTGGTGCTGATCGAAGAAAGTATCCTTGCGGCCCATCTGAATCGCACCTGTCGAGGAAACGGTCTGATTGTTTTTTCTTCGGGCCCATGGATGGACTTTGAGTGATGCGCACGAGGCGGCAGCACAGGGAAGAAACACATCCACAACTGACGTGGATGAAAGTTGAAAACAAGGAAAGAGCATCTATCTCACCTCACAGCAGGACCGTCACTGCCAAGGTCACCACCTGCGAGGTCAGTATACAAGTCAGGAAGGTAGCCTCCATTTGAGTCGGGTGCTGGTATCATGTCTTTTTTCTATATGTCCAATTTGTTCCATAATGATCTTGTTTTGCTTTGTTTTTCTTCATGTTGTGTTTTCAATTTTGTTTGGAGTGGCCCGGGGCACTGTTTTACTTTTTGCTGACTCGGATGCTTTCCCATGGTCGGGTCGACAATACCCAAACATACCAAAGCACTCCATGTAGGCACATATATGACCGACATTTGGGGATATCAATGAGTGTAGTTCATACCCAAACACTCCATGTATGGGATACTTGACAATTGACCAACAATAGCACCTCAAATGTAGCTCAACAATACCACAAAAAAATAGTGTCGATCCGACATATATGTCACTCTATGATCGGTCTAACCTATATATATATAACTAACTGAGATTCGGACTGAGTGAAACTCTGTCAACATGTAAACAGGTCAACACGAACAGTGCCGTGTTCCTCACTGGACCTCACTTCCCCACTATACAGGGAAAGGTTGAACACAAGGGAAGGTTGATCTGTTGTTTCTGGATGTTGTATTTTTTAATGCTAATATTGTATAATAAGGCTGAATTGAAGCAAGTACGCATGATTGTTGCGTTCGCTGGCAGGTTCTTTTGTTTGTGCTAAGGTGAAGATCAAATATGTTCAGTCACCATAAAACAACTAAGTACCCTCCCCCAAAACAACACTATCACTATATTCATTTTGCCAGAACCTGGCCCTTGGAACATTCATTTCCTGTTCCAGTTACTTGTTCCTACTAGTAAGGCACTTAGAAGTAACATTGTTCCTACTAGTAAGGCACTTGTTACTAGAAGCGATGCACTTGTTACTACTAGTGTGGCACTTGTTACTTGCTTACGATGCAGTTTCAGGGAGATCTCTCACACCAAGTGCCTAGACGGTCACTCCAACGGACTCGCCACCGCCGCTCTCGGAGTATTTCCACCCCAGCCACGGAAGAGCAGTGCGGCAATGGTGGACTTGCCGCTCCCCGAGGCACCGACCTCGGGTGGTCGGAAGGTGTGGACCTCGCGTCTGAATAGCCCCCAACACTGGTTTCACCCCGCGAACTGATGCGAAGTGATGCGAACTGGTCAACCAGGGTTCCGGGGATGTTTGGTACAATCTCTGCATGTGTTTCCCAAAGCATCCATGGGACTGAACTGATTACAGTCCCATTTACCCCCCATGGCCATACCCAGGACCGTCGACCCATCGGACGGTCCCTTTTACGTCGACCCATTCGTCCCACGTGGGACGGGTCACGTGACCCATTCGTCCTGCAGCCACGAGCGCTAAAGCGGTCATCTGTGCTTTCTCCATGCTGAAGCTCACGCCCCTGCGCTGCGAATGGAACCTCGATTTCCTCGATTTCTCCATGTCTGCCGAAGTGCTGATCGACTGGACTGACAGGAGGAGTCCCTGACACAGAAAAGTGATCAGCAACGCACTAGTCTGCAACGAAAACTCTTCAACATATATTGCAATCATGATCAAACATGGTTTTTGTTGTTTCCTTGCGGACACCTGCAGTCCGTCAAGTCATTTGCCATTTCTAGTCCGTCAAGTAAGCAATCTAACCTTGAAATGCTTATCAGTCAGTGTATCATTTGTGCGGAATGGCTTGCAAACACCCCTTGCGATACCCTTCAGTTCAAACCCCAAAGGCATAAGGATAAAGCAGCACCATAGCTGCAAGAAAGCACATAGTGCTGTGGTTGGATCAATTCTGACGCATCGGTTGCCTAGAGGCTAGAGGCTATAAGCTATAGGTCACTGACACATCATCAAACCGAGCCACCAACAGGCTCGGGGTTTTGGTGTTGTTTTGTTTGTGTGAAATTGATGGTGCAACATGTGTTCTTCACTCGAACTCGGCAGTCACGCTTGGACTCCTCATGGACCGACGCGGACTTGTATACCCTCTGTCTGTATACGGACTTCTTATGGATCTTACGGTTCCCGAAAGTCTTGTGTGTTTTCTTGGCGGAAGTATGAAGTAGGACTCATGATGGACCGCGGAAATGAACAAAAACGATCAAGCGACCCCGTCAGTTCATGGCAGTTCTGGTCCGAAGATGCGCGGGGCCAAGGCTTTGTCAGTTGACTTCAGGGGATTGACCCCGTCGGGGTGGAGAAATCTAGAATCGTTCAAAGTCTAGTCCTCAAACCTGGGGATGAAGTTCGGTCACTCTGAAGAACCAGGCAGTTCTATTCCTGTCGCCAGGAATAAACTGTTTCTTGGTCTGTTTGCAGTGCATCCTTGCCTGAGGACTTGGACGTCTGGTCGCGCAGGGTATGAAAACCTGATTCCGTGTGAAAACGGGGCATGGAATGAGTTCTTCAAGTCTTGAACGGAGACCGTTCTGCTTTGGTTGCTCAGGTCGGCGAGTTTTCTCTGCGTAAAAACCACTTCCATGGACCCTGAGAACCTGGGTGAATAGAGTGATCTTTGGCACCAACATGAATTCAATCCAATTTGTTTGTGTTGCCCAAAGGCCTGGAATTTGACCATTGAGATGACAGGATGTCAGCCTTCGAGGTCACACTTGTCAAAATCAACTATCCTTTTCAAAATGAAAGACAAGTAAAACCCCTTTCAACACGTATTGGAAGTCGTTTCTACCTATTTGGTGACCTCTACAATGTCTATGAAATACTGAACACAACCGCAGTGTCTGCCACAGGTTTTCATGAATGTGTCCTACTCTTGTCTGACAGAAAAAGGTCTGCTCTGCAGATCCAATCAATTCATTGGAAACATATGCACTATACAAGACATACCTCAGACACTCCATGGACTGGCATATTGACATACATTGGGGTGGTTTCAGGGGTCAATGTAGGCATATATGCCATACATGGAGTGTCTGGATACTATACAAAAGGCTCAGATCTACATACCCTCTGTTGCTTTGGTGTCTGGAGATATTTGGTAGGGTCACCAGGGGCCCCGTGTCACCCCAACCACGTTTGGGTGTTCGGACACCACATGAAAGAAACAACTCGATATCCCACAAGAATGGTTCAGTGGATGTCGGCATGGGTCTGAACTCAGGTGAATATTACGACTAACGGAGAGGTGTTTCCTTTTTCCAAGGGAGGCTGAGCGAAAGGAGACTATCTGGTTGGCGGAGTATATCTGGTGGTATAAGTTGTGTAAACGGAGGTTGAAGGATGGTGCCCTGCCTGTCCAGTCTCGCTTCTCAGACTCCATTAGGACTGGCATATGACTGCTGATCCAGTGGTTGAAAAGGGATCAAAACATGTAATATGCCAGTTCCAATCCCTTTTCACACATGTCAACCAATTCCAATCCCTTGGGGATATGCCAGTTCCAGTGTCTGGGTCCAGTATCGAAGAAGTCCATCTCCTCCTTCAGAAGTCTCAGGGTCCACATCGAAGAATATAGAGTCTCAGGGTCCACATCTTGTGTCCCTCCTTCAGGAGTCTCAGGAGTCTCAGGGTCCACCCTTCAGGAGTCTCAGGGTCCACATACACGGTGAGCCCCATGAAATTGACCCATCCATGGCGTGACAATGTCACATGTCCCGTTCGTCTGGTCTGGTCTGGCAGCCGGTCGTGACGGTCGTGACGGTCGTGTAGCGAGCAAGCAACAGACCGTTCCGGGAGACCTCCCAGGCGTTCCGACTTCATTGGGCCAGGGGGTCTCCCTATTAAATATTAAATTCCATATACACTCCTGGCATAGGAATACTCCCTTTTAAATTTACAATTTCCGGATTTCAAATTTCCTGTTTTTCTTATTTCAGGAGTGTACTTGGAATCTGGAAAAAGATCCTGGCACACCGAAGCGCACGCCCTCCGACAGATCGCACACCAGTTGCACATCGCGCCAAACAAGTTGGTTTGGTAGGACAGGGAACATCTGCAGGAAATCCCTTGTTTTGTACCCCCAAATCTATGGGTTTCCTGTAGGTGTTCCACTTAAGCCCAATGCACGGAGTGTCCACATAGAGTCAAAACACAGGGAACATCTGAACATCGCGCCAAACCAGGGATCATCGAGCTGTGTCTGGGGTCCCTGGCTCTACGGCTCGAAACTGGACGTCACCCTCTACCTGCCGACGCGACCGACGCGACCGACGCGACCGACGCCATGGACCGGCGATTCGTTCGGGGATCGAGGTTTCCTCGCAATGAAGGGAACAACAAAAGCCTAAACAACCGGGTTCTCAAGCAGCCCTGTCTTGTGTTTAGTATTGTTTAGTCAATTGTTGATCACTTGATCTGTTTGCAGTTTAAGAGCTTGTAGAGACCTGACCAAACATTCACACATCCAATGATCCCCCAAAAAGGTTTTAACAAGGACATGGTTTGAAGGAAGTTTTTTCCTAGAGTTCCAGAAATGTTGTGACTGTTATCAGGTAATTGAACAACAAACACACGGTTCTGTTCATTGCTCAATCAATAACAGGAGGTGTCATCCTAGTCAGCCATCTCAAGTGTCTACAGCAAACCCAATGACCGAAGCAGCTACTAAACATCCAAGATCTTCACCCATACTTCAAAAGCGAACTTGTTCAAACCCGATGCCAGACCTCAAGCCCGATGCCAAATGCCCCACTTCAAGCACCCCATCAGACTGGCATGGATGGCGATCAAATAATTGACCCCTCTTAACCGGTAAATATGGCACAAAGATGCACAAAGTGTATGTAAGACACAGAACAAAACAGCGTCAATGAGGGACCCCTTTGCCACTGTCAGACACCACCAAGATGTATATGCCTGGAACCTGAATGACCTCTATTTTGGACCACCAACCACCCAAAATATGGCCAAACTTCCTATCAAAACAGGGGTCCATTGGTGGGTTCCAGGTGTATATCTAATCTACGGCATGCCACAAACAAGTGTCCGAGTCTGGTGGAAAGCATACAAAACCCCCGGCCGAAGTCCGGCAAACGAAGGCACTGCCGGACGAGTGAACTGTTTTAGCCTGGGGGGGGTCAACCAATGTGCTGTGCAAAAACGCTAAGTAAGCCCTACAGGAGCTGATGTGTGTGTTTTTTTTTTTTTTTTAAATATAAGTATACAGTATACTGTTTGTTTTCAATCCGCGAGGAGCTCCACTGACCGAAGAACATCCAAATCAATCACCCGTGTTTGCATATCACACGTGTGTGATTAAGAGTTCATCTTGCTTGCAAGGGTTGTCTGATCCAATCCGATCCAGGCAAACATAATAATTAATAGCATGGTTGACCATATGATGATCACGTGTCTTGAGTCTGGTTGTACAAATGTATGTGTGTACACATCAATACTTCATTTTTTGGTCCAACACCATCACTGCACTGACTGAAAATCCTTTGTCCAAACGCTCTGCAAACCAAGCGCCACGACCCGTCACAAACCGCCACCGAACCGAACGCCACGGGCGTTGTTTTTCGTCGCCATCCGCCGCGCCTGCGCCTCGTGTGTTCCTGAAACCAAGTGTGGAGAACCTCCGTTCACGCGACAGCGGAAACGGAACGTGCGTGGGGTCAGGAAGCGGAATGCGCATGGTGGGGTGGGCCCATGCAATGAGACATGAAGAAGCAAAAAGAAGATTGCAACGATACTGGAGATGAATACTCACATCGCAAACCAAAAGAGTTGCAAGGATTTGAAAAGGGCAACGATAGGTACCTGAATTGAATCCATGAGGGCTGACAGGTCGAGTATACCGGTATAGCGTGCTTTGGAATAAGACAACATATTGCAGAGTATGCCACATTCTGCCATGATAAACCCTGACACTCAATGTATTGCACATTTACCTAGATTTGGGGTGGTTTCAAGGCTCAATGCATGCATATATTCTACACATGGAGTGGTTGGGAAAGAAACTGCAATCAAGCAACTTCCTAATAACTTGAGGCCAAGGGGGGGGCGAAAGCTAGCGCTCCAGAATGGGAAAGTGGAGGGCAGCGAGGTAGGAAAAAACACGGCGCTCTTTTTGGAGGCAGGGGTGAAGAGTCCTTTATATGTGGCTCTTTGCCCGGATCCTCCTGCGAGAGAAGAGAGAGAAGAGAGACGGAAAGACGAGAGACAGAGAGGAGAGAGAGAGAGAGAGAGGAGAGAGAGATGAGAGAGATGAGAAAGAGATGAGAGAGATGAGAGAGATGAGAGAGAGAGAGAGAGACAGTGAGACAGTGAGACAGTGAGACAGTGAGACAGTGAGCGAGTGCGGCCGCAAGATACGCAACGCTAACCGCATGCCAAAGAGCGACGACAGGACGGAGTCGAACTTGCGAAGAGGGAGGAGGGAGGGAGGGAGGGAAGGTGGGAGGAAGACAAGGAGGAGGAGAGGGGAGGTGTTGAGGGGAGAGGGGAGAGGGCAGGAGGGGAGAGGGCAGGAGGGGAGAGGGGCGGGGGGGAGGGGGGCGGAGGGGAGGGGGGGGGGGGGTCTTCGACCTGAAAAATCAGGGGTTAGGATTTGCACCCGGTCGAAAGAAACCTTGCTATCGCAAGAGTAACTCCAGCTAGCTTCGCTAGCTTTCGTGATAAGTGAAAGTAGAAAGCGTCCGCACTTGGAGAATCCGTTTCCGTGTTGCTTTCACTTCTGGTGAAGGGCCCGGACTCAAAGGGTGAAGGGCCCAAAATCGAAATCTAAAGCTGAGTGGACAGATCCAACCACCTAAAGACTTGTCCAACTGCTGCACTTGATGTGGGAAATCGCTTGTCGAACTGCTTCAATCGATTTCAACCGCGGACACCCAGTAAATCCAGGACCCTCAGTCGGAGGACCGTTCCAACAACTCATCGAAGGACTCAGGCTGGAACCTCTTGCAGAACCATATCCCACTAAGTCGCGCAAACCACGTACTGGATTGATATGCAAACCCAATACCATGGGTTATTTTGTGTACTGTAATAGTATGTAATAGTCTTTAATGCGGTATGTTAACATATTCACAAATGCCCAATGCCATCGCAGGCAAGTTAATGGACTAATCTTTTAACAACCGACCTCATTATGTTCCAACAATTTGCTATCGAACAGAAAAGTTATGATTTTCCTTTGGTAGATTCCACTGATGGTTGATGTGCTCACAACTTTCAACCTGCTTTTTACGTGTCCTTCTCATCGTTGATGCAGAATGCCGGCAACATAAGGTGGAAATGATCGAGATCATTCACCCAAAGTTGGTGCTGGGTGAACCAATTGCTCTCTCCCGCATATTGAACCTATTGATGCACATGTAGAGAAAAAACAAACAATCCAACACCTGCTTTGTATGAATGATTGGTTCCGAAACATCTGGTTCCGGGTCAAAACCGGAAGACCTGGTCCTTTTACTCCCACCCAAAATGAACAGAAGCTTGACGTCGCCAGACATGGTCAACTGACTCTGGAGCCATGACTCACCAGCAGCACGGGTGACGCGCTCCGCGCTCAGCTCCGGGGGACGATCCATGAACTCAAAATGGTCCAACAGCATGTCGTGACCTCCAGCGGCGCTGGAAGTGAGCGAACAGTGTTGGTTTTGGCTGACTGAGACGGACGGACTAAACCCAGACCCAAACGGATGGGACTGGAAAGCAGACCATCAAGCAGTAGCCAGTGCTATCTTCACATTCTGATCATGTTGTATGTAAGGCTCTAACTTCTGAGACTGGAATAGTTACTTGCGTCAGGGTTTGTTTTTGTGAATGCAAATGCAGTATGTATATATATATATATTTCCCATGGATGGTCTGGCATAGGTCCGATAGATGACTGATCCAATATATCGAATCTGAGTAAGTTACCCTACATCCAACAACCATGAAAGCAAACAAAGAAGTGCCTAGAAGGCTACTTTCATCAAGCAGCGAAGGCTGTATTTCCATGTTTGTTAGGGTTTGTTAGGTTCTGGGAATCTTCGTGGAGTTTCCACGCTTGTCTGGGACATTGACCGGCAAACGTACAATACTGTGACAGGACTCCTGTACGCAGGATTGATGCACCGACATGCACCAACTACACACTTGGTATCACTTGGTCGATCTGGGCCTTTCAATGGATCCCCAGACCATCCATCCATCCATCCATCCATCCATCCATCCATCCATCAGAAGAGTTACCTCCATGGAACACCCCATCCAAATGACCCCAGAGTCGCATTCGTCGGATGTTCACCCGCCGTGACAGATGAATAGACGGTCGTTCCCGTCGGACGGGCGGGCCTGTTCCAAACTGCGGTCGGTCAACGGTGAAGCGTTCCAAGCGACGCGACGAACACAGGGCTCCTGGCCTTACATTTTTAGGAGCAATGTGTGCTAGTTTGGAAACACGGACGCGCGTCACTTGGTGTCACTCGTGGACGAGCGGCGGCGCTGCAGCTCCAAGAACTGGTTCCTGACCCGCTGCACGAGGCCGCCCACCTGACGTTGGTTCCTTCGGTGCTCTGACGTTGTTTTCACGGGTCTCAGCACCGGTGACGTGTCCCGGCCCAAAACTTGGGGTGAATGCCGAAAGATCGACCATAGCGAGGGTTTGGTACGTAAAAGGAACCCGACCCCAGTCAGTCACACCGGCATGCCATAGTGGTGGAGACCACCACATCACCGGTACCTCCCGTGGGGCGAACGAGGTGGATCCCAGGAGCGAAGGTCGGTGACGCGATCAGCAGACCTATATAATGAATTGAGAAGACCGGCACAGGGGCCCCCAAGTGTGGTGGTTTAGTAGTGAACCCCCCATGGAGATAGGACATCTTGAGGTCTGTGCCATCTACGCTGAAACCACTGTATAGTATATACCTGACGTATTGATCCTGATCGTTGACTATTTATGCCTCGGCTCCTTCCTATGCATCAGCTACAAACCCCGCATGTGAGCTTCTCAATGAATCGGATGAATCGCCCAATGGCTGAATCACTTTGTCTAACCTGGCAGTGCTTCTTGCTGAGTGGGGCGACCCCGCCTCGCTCCGTGGGAATCATGAAAATGAGCAGTAAGTGCGTGGTTTTTCTTGAAACTCCCACCGGAGAAACCGCTTGATGCTGAACAAAACATGGCATAGAAAAAGTCTGGACCGTTTTTTTGTTCAGGGCCCTATACCTATATACAGTATACCAAGAAACCAACAAATGTCTTATAATATAGAATAAATATTGGGCTTGCAGGTCCTAACCACTCTGCCAAGACTTTACCCTTCTCCTCCGTGCACCCCGCGGTGCAGGCTCGCAAAGGAAAGCATACCGGTCCAACACAGCGCCCAAACACCCCATGAGACTGCATATTGACCTATCTTGGGGTGGCTTTAGGGAGTGAAGGTATGCCAGTCCCATGGAGTGTCTGGGGGTGCTTTTCTCGTGTGTTTTTTTGCGCTGAGAGGACGAGTCGCGCCTGTTGAACCAACAGCAAGTATGCCGTCATATCCCCCGCCGAGAAGTCTCGCCTCGGTCGGTGCGACGCGCTGAGAATCCCTGGTGAGGTCCATCAAACTCCAGAGAAATCTCCTGGACTCCTTTCACATCCTGGACGATTCCTTGAGGAGGTATTACATGCCATTACCCTCTTAGATGTCGTCTCAGCTACGATACCGACCAAGAATCTGACCCTGAAGATGTTGAGACACTTGGATTTTTCTCCGCCGGCGCCGAACAGGTCTCACCCTGTGTTCACGTCTCCCCAACGAAGCTGTGAACTAACGTCTCCCCGGAAAGAAAAGGCGATTTGGTGTTCGACCCACACCCAAAGCCATATCACCCTACAGGTCAATGACCTCATTCTACTCAAATTGGCTATACAGAAACCATACTCGGAAGCAAAAAAACATACATGGTTATACTGGGTAATTGGATTTGTGGGGTCATGATCGGCAACGCTTGTTTGTTATCTTCACCCCTGACTTGACTATCATCTACAATGAGTGCACACTTATCCCTCGATCCATCTCAATCTTCAAACATCCGTTCTTCAGCTCAAAAACAACATGATTCAATCATTGTAACAGATTGTAACCAATCCCACCACAGCGGATTTGAACTTGCTGGTGAAAGCGACTGATCGTATGACACCGATGGTTCTGCGGCAGCAGAACGAGTGGCATCCGACTGGACGAAGTTCCGATCGATGCTTAGATCACAAGCGCGGTTTCAGCATCGGAATTAGAGACATGTTTGTTGGAACGACCTCAAAAAACATGCAAATTTTAGTGATTTGTCTTTGTTGTGTTCGTAGGCCGGTAGACCTCCGAGTTTGATCCCTACAAAAGGAGACCAGTCTACTCCTCACGCGTCATGTTGCATCACGGTACCTTTGAAGAGATACAATTCCATCATGCACCTTGTTGGTCCTGAACTTGATCTACTCGAGAAGGCTAAAGAACGATGGACAAAAAGGCCGAGGCACTCCATCCAAACAAGGCCACACCAGAGGCAAAAACAGTACCTCGGCGTTTTTGTGTTTTGGGCCGGACGACTTCTGCACAGTGTTCTGCTGTTTTGTTGTTCCTTTTTTGGGGGGGTCCGAGGTCTCAGCAAATGGATTCCATACTAATTTTTCCAGGTTGCTATTTGGCGTGAATGCCCACCCACAAAGATTATCCCGGCAAGAGACCCCAAACAGTGTGTGTGTGTGTGAGGTCTAGAGGTGTCGTGGCAGAAAGTCTGGAGATCATTGAGTGTGAGTTTGTGTGAGAGTGAGTGTGAGTGAGAGTGAGTGAGAGTGAGTGTGAGAGAGAGAATGAGAGAATGAGTGTGTGAGAGAGTGAGAGTGAGAGCGTGAGAGTGTCATGGTGATGCTGATGGTGGTGGCGGTGGTGGAAGGTATTGATGGTAGTGATGGTGGTGGTGATGATGGTGATGATGATGTTGGCGGGGATGGTGGGGAATAAGGGAAACGACATGATGGTGGTAATGATAGTGGTGACGGTCGTTGGGGATGATGGCGGAGATGATGGTGGTGATGATGGTGGGAGATGGTGGTGATGGAGGTTCACAAACTATGTGCAGGCTTAGAGGCCTAGCGGTGGAGAGAGATGTCTAGGTCCAGAGTTCAATAGAGGGTGTGGTACAGACGGACTTTTTCAAGGATTAACCAGCTCGTGAATGGGCTAGTCTATCAATGTTTTTCGCAGAATATGTGCTGCGACAATGACACATTTTCCTAGACGCGCGGAGATATACCGAGTACTTGCGAAATATTGCACGCCAATGCATACCATGGACAACGCACGCCGAAAAAGAACACATAAACAATCGCAGAAACAAGAGCCATGCCATGCCATCCGCCAACTGGCCCGGTGCAAAAAGGCGGCTGGCCACAATGACAGTCAAGGAGAGCACCGAGGTGTGGCGGGTAGTCACACCCTCCAAGTGTGCGATAGGGCAGCTTGTGCGCCCAGAAACACACCCTTGGCCTGCAACAGCTGGCCTCAAAATTTCCACAAAGTACTGCACCAAAAATTACTCTAGGTGCACAAGTACTGCGCCTGCCACGAAATCTGCACCTCCAGGTCCACAAAACGTTGTGCCTGCAAGGTCCACACTCTACCACGCCTGCCGCAAAACCTACTCTTCAAGGTCCACAAGGTACTGCGCCTGCCACGAAATTGCGCCTGCTGCGAAATCTGCACTTCAAGGTTCACAGCGCGCAGCAGCCCCGCCAAGGTGATTCGCAGCAAGAGCACTTTCAAAGACAACGTCAAAATCCCAAAACGCAGCTTTCGCTCGAGACTTCCTCCAATTTCTGAAAACGAGTCGCATGCATGTCCAAGAGCGACGATTCACCGCACCTGCCACGAAATCAGAGCACGCCGAAGATCACCACCATGTTCAAAGTATACTATACGCCTGTACGCCTGCCACACAATCTGCACATCGACATAAAGCCGCTCCGATCTCCTGCACCTCCCAGCCTAACACCCTTCATTCACGCTCTTCCTGGAACGGCCATTGTTTTATGGACATTTCACTCAAACACTTATACACTCTTTGTGTCTTGGTCGGGCGCTTCCTGCCGACAGTCCTGCTGACTCTGCGAAGGCAAAGGTGGTGGGCTGTGACTGTGAGGCACATGGTCATGCCAGGGGTGCCAAACTTCCAAGACAAATGTTCCTCTCAGTTTTGGAGGCGTGGCACGCAAAGGAGCCTTGGGATACTTTTTGAAGCAATGACCGAAGTCAGGCATCACCGTCAAGGGCCCGCCGCCATCAGACACGAACCACCAATTCAAAAAAAACTCATCACTAGGTGGTTCTCTAAGATCATATGGAGGGTCAGTCGGCTCAGAGCCAAATGACTGCTGTTGAGGCACAGGATCTGCAGGAGTGTCATGCGGCGGAGGCTGCCTGCGGGTGTGTATTTTCCTTCATTCATGGCTCAGATTGGGCGGCGGCCATCTCTTTGAGAAACACCCAGCAACACAGCTGACAGAATTCAAGTTGCAAAGGTCTCACTGTCTGTCGACAGCTGAAAGCTCTATTCTTTGCACGGGTATGGATTCTCAGGCAAGTCAGAAGAAGCGTCAGAAGCACGTGAAGCACGAAGTGCATAGAAGTATGCTGCCGCTGCCCTCGCACGCACTGCTTCTGTCTCCATCTGACGGAGGAGGGTCTTCATCTTGCTGATCTCTTCCTGAGTCAAGACCATGCGAGCTTACAAATCATCAATTGTATTATTACTGGTCTCTTTATATATTAATGTGCGTATATATGCATCATACAGCCCTATGTATGACGCCTATGACTATTAGACACTATCAAAGTCTGCTAGGCTCCAGTTGAGCAGTCTCTTAGACTCATGTCCTGGAACATTTGCCACCAGGTCACCAGATGTAACTGTTAAATGGTTCTTGTGAGGTGTCCCCTTGTGCCTGCCCCGGAAAGTGATCGCCAAGCCCGAAAATGTGCACAGCACCACAACGAGAACGCAGTCTAGAAGAGCACCCGCTCGGGCCCACCAGATTCTGCTAGCCTGTGCAGTCGAAATGCGCTTTGAAGATCTCGAGGTGAATGCATGTACTGTAAATAGCAGCGACTTAGCGGCCGGCGGATGCGAGCACCTCGATCAAACACCCGTCCTTAACTCTTACCGTAAGAACCCCTAAAGTGCTAACACACTGTTTGGGAAGTCAATACTATCCACCCGACTGTGGAGGTATTCTATCTGTGTGCTTCTCCAAGAAAACCTGTCCATGCTGACCTTCAGGTCAGCATGTGAAGAACCTCACGTCGGCGTGATTTTGCCAGCACAGCACCTGGCCAAAGCCGATCACGACCTGGCACGAAGAGCTAAACCAGAAACGTAGCCCACGTAGCCTTCTCAACATCATCCTGTCAAGGTCCCCAATGGCCATTGAAACAAACCTTGCAGTCTTGCCGCAGCCCGCGCAAAAGAAGGGCAGCAATCTACTACACTCCCTGAAATGACATCTGGTAGGCCCTTTTTTCTCTACCCAAACGTGACCCTGGGACCCTCATATATGGAGGGGTCAGTCCGAAATCCTGTGGAGGGGTCTGGGGTCAAATCCCTAGGGCTTGGAGTGTCTCGGTGGTTTTCACTCTACTTCCATGTGAATGACTCTCTGCTTCTAAGACTGTAAGACTAATTTCGCGATGTCTACAGACCTGCTGATGTCCGCTTTGACAGCTTTGACCGGTGTTGCCCATATGCGCTACTAAATTAAGTAGGGAAATGGGTCACCACAAACACACATCAATAACACATCGGACCGGATCCCAACGTCAAGAGAAATGTCACAAGCCCTTCTGAAGCGCCCAACTCCCTCCTCCGGCACGTCCAAAAATACCCATCCAATACCCGGTGTACGTCCATGTCCCAACCGCGCAGAGAACCTCTCCCCCTGCGAACCGGCCCTTCGGTAGTTCACCGCAGCGGTACACAGAGCGCTGCGAGATGTCCGGAAGGAGTTTGGCCAAGCCTCGGGGTGGTCCCGGTTAAGCTGAGCGTGGCCCAGGTCGGCTGGGATGGTGCCGTCGGACATCCCGATTCTAAGGAAACAGTTCAGCAAACGAACTCCATCTGTTCTTCATATGTAGTGGGGACACCAATCCGCAACAAGGTTATATAAAGGTCGTCCACTTCTTCCTGGGTAGGATGCATGTTTTTGTAGAAGATCATGAGGCAGAACTGAAGCACAAGGAGAGTGGATCTTATACGAAAAAAACACCTTCTCGATGAAGTGCCCTCAAGTCATGGCATGCCAGTGTTGAAGATGAAACAATCTATTTCCAGTTCGCAAAATTGATTGGGACAGGAGGAGACATGTAGTGAATGCCCAACATACCCAAACACTCCATGTATGCCTACATTGAGCACTGAAACCACCCCAATGTAAGGAAATATGCCATACATGGAGTGTCTGGGATACATTTTTTGTGGTTGACATATAGTCGTGGATGTAAGTTCTGAATTTCTTGGGGGCCAAGACTGTCTTACCACACTGAGCGAACGGGAGTGGCTCCATTCTTTTCTCCAAACGGCCAAACGGTGGGATTTTTGTGTGAAAGGAGAAGTGAGGCAACCCAAGGTGGCTGCTTAGATGGGAGAAGCTCAAATCAAAACAAATAAGTAACATTGTTGCGATCTGGCTGTGGAGTTGACCTCTGACTCACTAACATGGAAGTAGATGTTTTCCTCCACGAACAATTTTCCACCTGTTGGTCAGTCAGAGTGTACCAACTTTTGACCACACACCACAGGAAAAAACACAAACTGGAATCACATGACCACCTCTTCTTAAACATTTTTGCAGCATGGATGTGCCAGCTTTGGGACATCAACGACCCAGTTTGCAACATCTACTCTGAGCCCACCATACCCTTAGCTTCAAAGTTGAAGATTAACTTTGACGTTGTTTAGGTGTACTTAAACCAAGTAATCGTATTGATATGCATTGATGATATCTGATGCCCCTTGGCTATCAACTGCTCAAAGATTGATGAAGAAAGCCCTTAGAAAAAGCCTGGCACTTAGCAACCAGGGCTCGAACTTTATAAGTATCGATTTATATAAACTCGCTTCTGAGGAACATGGCGTCCTGACACTGGAACTGGTGCGCCCTTCGGTTCACGAGTTTGCCCCGCAGGTGTGATTCAACATTGGTGTAAATCAACATTCTATTTGGAAGTTTATCATCGCAAAGTACTAGGAAATGCAAAAGTACTATGCATTCAACATTGGAAATGCAAAGTACTATGCTAAGTTTATCATCGCATTTGGAAGCGCTGGGATATGAGAGTTGAGCAAGCTTGTCATCATGCTGGGTACATTACGGCACCAACAATCACTCCAATATATATGCACATGGCAGAGGTTGCCCCGTTTGTCATTGCTGAAACTATAGTAATTCTATCACAAAAGCCACCAAAATTCAAGAACTGTAGAGGACAAGCCCTGACAACCTCATTACCCCATTTGTCCAACACGCACGTCCTGGGATTGGGAACAATCATTGCGTCTATGAATCGGTCCTTTCCCAAACGCTCCATGTATGCAATAGTTACCTATACATTAGAGTCTTAAGTGGGTAAAACGTCTTCAACTATGGACTGTCTGGGTCCTTTCATTCTTCCAGTGGCCCCAGGCATGCCAAGGCTAGTTGGTCCAATTGAGCTTGAAAGGGTCAAGGATCCTTAGGGCTCCTGACCTACCTCCAGAGATGATGGTTAGGGTGGGTTTGGTTGGTGGCCTAGGGGTTTGTCAAGGGATGTTTTCAGAGTCTCTCAATGTAGGTCTGACTCCTCTAATTAATCAACCAACGAATACAGTTAAAGGCCTAAGGCCGTCTATGAGTGGTGATATCAATTGGTGAGGCTCCTGTTGGAACTCAATGCCCCTGTTCTGGCTCCTTCCCACGTCCCTCATACTGCATCGATGGCACCATGCTTTACACCTTTCAACTTGCTGTCGCTCACGTCTGCCTCGCGGTCGCACGGCCGTTCTCGGGCACTGGACCCGTGCGTGGTCACCCGTTCGTGCGTGGGTTCGGGCTCGCATTCTCAGGGTGCATATGATTGCCATCTGATTTCCATGCCCAGACACGACCTCCTCCATGGGACTGCCCGTCCGGACTGCCTTTTTCTCCATTGGGGTGGGGTGACCTGGGGTCGGCGGCATGCCGTGCCATATCTCATGGGTGTCTGGGATGAAACATGTTGTCTTGGACCATCCTTTGTTGGTAATCTCTGGGAATCTGTTGACAAAAGAAACACCTCCAAAGCTCGGAGACTTGCTTAAGCTGGGGCAGCTCGGACCGCGTCAAAGATAGACGGTTGATGAAGCAACCGTCTACATTGAGCCTCAAGCTGACCTACTACCTACTTCAGGATGAGCTGCTGAGCAGTATGAAGTTGAAGGATTGATTCTGGTCATAATTTGAGAGCACTAAGAGCTTTCAACATGGAAGGTGGAAACGGTTTCTATCTCTTTTGCCATCTTTGGCGACTGTGCAGGTAGGCCATCCCCGCTGTAATTCCTGCACAACTTCACCGGTTTAGAGACCCTCGAGACCCTCGGATCCCTCGAGCCTCGAACCCAACACATCGAGAGCTTCGCTACAAACACACCGTCTGCACATCACCAGATAGACAAACAAGCGTACATACGGCATGTTTGTCATGGTTTGTCTGGTCAATGTATCTCCAAAACGGCCCGGGCAAACCACGTGGAGTTTTTCCCCGCTGACGCCAAAAGCCGAATGTCTGGGCGGTCTGTTCCAGTCCCTTTCGTGCGGGTCCTTGGAGAAGTGGACTATCACTTCCTCTAAGCGAATTGTTCATCACGTGCCTCAGAGCTCTTGGACTTTAAAGAAAGGCAGAACACCCACCCTTGGGCTCAATTGAGTTTTCAGACATTGGTGCCAAAAGCTCTGAAAAAATGATCAGACATCTCTGCCCGAATTCGCAGGGTTTGCACTGCAAAACCCTCAGAACGCTGAGTGTGCCATTGCTTTCTCACAGGCGCTGATGGCAGCACTGTAGCTTAAAATGTTTGGCTGCCTTGGTTCGGTTTTAGGTCTGAGAATAAACACATGCATATTGTTGATTCCGAAAGAATACTTTGGGGTCACGGAGACTCGGAGTGCTTACTGTGAGATTGGACGATACTCCACAGAAACCTTCGCCAAACATCGTGATCAAATGAGAATGCTGAACCCAGTCTTACAGTGAGTAAGGGGAAAAAAAACATGAGTTGACTAGACCTATAGATATACCAAGCAAACTAATATGTAAACATGTGCGGTAAGAGATTCCAGGCCGCACTGATGTCCGTGTCATGGCCTCAAATAACAGCAACACATGCTCCCATTGGTCGTCTTGCCCACATGCGCTCATTGTCTCATTGTAGCTCGCAGCATCTGGCTGAATCGTCCTCAGCAACGGAGTAGGAGCGGACGAAGAAACATGTTGGAAAAGAAACTAGATTAGACTTTATAAAGAAAGGGATCCAAAAAGTGTAATGGTTTTTGTGGATTTGTGAGTTTCTGACTTGGCATGGCTTCAAACAATGCGATCGCTTGCTGCCACTGGCCGCCCTCCTCACATGCACTGATGATGGCATTGAAGGTGATGATGCTTGGCTGACAACCTTCCTTCAGCATGCCGTGAAACAATACCAATGCAGGCTGCCAATGACCACTCTTCTCACAGGAACTGATTGTGGCATTGTAGCTAATGACATTAGGTTGCACCTTCATTCCAAGCATTGCCTCGAGCAACATCAATGCCTGCTGCCATTGCCCGCCCTTCTCACAGGCACTGATGGCGGCACTAAAGCTAATGACGTTTGCATCACTACTTGCAGTCACCATGGCCTCAATCAACCTCAATGCATGTTCCCACCTCCAGCCCTTCTCACTGGCACTAATGGTTGCATTGTAACTTATGAGATCTGGTTGAAGTTTGGCCCGGGGAATGTCCTGAAACAATTGCAGTGCCTGTGGCCATTGCCCGCCTTTCTCGCAGGCACTGATAGTCGCATTGTAAGTGATGATACTTGGCTGCAGTTTCACCTGAAGCATGGCCTCAAACAAAAGCAATGCCTGCTGCCAATGCCCAACTTTCTCACATGCGCTAATGGCTGTACTCCAAAGAATGACATCTGGTTGCAGTTTTGCCTTGGGTACGGCCTCCAGCAGCCTCAAGGCTTCCTGCCATTGGCCACCCTTGGCGCAGGCGCTGATCGCGGCACTGCATCCGATTAGATCACACTTGACCGTTGCTTCTTGCATTTCCTCAAACAGCCTTAAGGCTCGGTGCCACTGCCTGCCTTTCTCAAAGGCAGTGACGGTCGCATTGAAGCTGAAGGCACTTTGATCAACCCGGGCGACCGGCATCAAGCTGAACAATCTCAAGGCGTGTTGCCAGAAGCTGGACTTGGCACATGATGCAATTCCAACCTCGGATGATCCGCGAACTGAGGGATACTGGATACTGGGACAAGCTATAGATCACCCTGTTTGCTGGCGAGCACCCGAGCATCTTGAAGAGTCTTAGTTTTCCATTGACAGTAGTGCTGCTTTGCTACAAGGGGGGTTGCCCAAAGGATAGGATGGTTTCGCCAGGTTCTTGAGCTACAAGACTCCAAGACTTGCTTTTACAATTTTTACATGGGGGGTCGGAGGTCGGACTTCATCGCCACAGAGAGTGCGTGCGTGGGTTACCAGGTGCTTGTAGGGACGGTCCAACGACCAAAACAGGGCATATCACCAGTAGAACTTGGGTGTATCCCATGGGCCCAGGTGGATGATGGGGCCTAGTGGCAGGCCTTGTTCCAACATAGTGCTAATTGATGATCATAGTGCTATTGTATGTATCTGATGATCAATCCAAATCAGCAAAGTCTGCCGGGCCACGGTGAAGTCTGACTCCTTTAGCCGTCGTCCTTCGGCAGCCATGGTCTGCAGCAATGCAAAAGCCAGCTCACCTCGCTTTTCCGAAGCAAAGATCCTCAAGACTTCTTGTAGCTTCTCCCGTGACGGCCAGATGTCCGGCAACAAGTTGGCCACGTTGGATTGGCTGATGAGGTCTTGGCCTTGGTTTGGCTGATGAGGAACCTGAATTCAAAAGAACAACTCCACATAAACTGACTGGTGCATAGTAGGTCCCAAACTGGATCAAACTGGCATCTCTTTGCGGACCAGTTGGTAAATCGTCCATACCATGTGCCCTACATTGCGGGGCAGCATTTTCTTCGATCTGGTCATGAACTGTCTATCTCAGTTCCAGGATGTCCCAGATCCCAAATAGATCCCAGTTTTAAACTCTTGATTGCAAGCACCCTCCTCATTGAACTACCGTAGTACCTCTTTCTATCGTTTCGTCCGGGGGGACGAAGCGGACAGTTTCTATAGGTCGATCCGGAGACTGCGCCCTTCGGTCTGACCCCAGCGGCGGGAGCGACCCAACCGAGTTTCGGAGCGTGGAACGAAGGTAGAAACGGAGCGTTGACAAGGAGAACTGTGTCGTGTCGATCTCACCTTCTCAGAGTTGATCTGGATCCAACAACTGCAGACTGGGGCATTGGGTGTGTTTTTGTTGCAGACTGGTGTGTTTTCTGTTTTGAGATGTCAACTGATGTCAATGTAAGCCTAAGACTCCGAAAGGGCACTGACCCATGGCAGGGGTCGGACCTTGTCCACCGAAACGCAAAGGGCTGTGTGTTGGTTCACGCCCAGAGTCTCAGGGTAGGTCAATATGTCCATCCGTGGTGTCGTGCCGGTCCAAGAGCTGCGGCGTCCCTGCAAACAAATGATAAAAACAAATCAAACTGTAACCGCCAGGGGTCACGAGACGGGGTGTTTTTTTGGTCCCAGCCCAGTGAGTGGATGAAATGGACACTCCGACTTGCGTTCGTTCGTTCGGCGCCTCAACTCCTGGATGTCATAAGGTTTACTCATGGATCAACCCATGATCAACCCATTTGTTGTTGCCATTCTTCCAAAGTGGCCCTTCTTCAGCGGCCAGCGGACGGCCTTCTGGGCCCGCTGGTTCTGGGCCCAGCGGGCGGCCGCTCGTCTCATGTTTCACGGCGAGAGAGCGCATCCAGTGAACCGAGGGGCCCCTCGGTGGATTGGCCGCGGAGCCGCTAGCTATGCTGAGGTCAGTGGAGCCAAGATACGTGCCACTGCAGCGGTTTTTGTTGTTGTTTTTTTGCGGAGCTATGAAGGAATCAAGACAACCTGATGCCTATCCTGCTGATGTTGAGTCTGATGGACAGTGAGTCTGAGGTTCTCCTATCGTTCCTATCAAGAGTGAAGCCGAGGAAACAATGACGTTCTTTGTCGCAGTTCCCGTCCACCAAACATGATCTTCCATGGGCTCTCTTGGAGGTATCGAAAACCTTCGAACAACATGGACCTCCCCCCTTTCAAATCGAACTGCTGTTCAAGATCCATGCAAATCGTTCTTTCGAGCATGTTTGAACCGCTTGCTGCCATTCCGCTTCCGTTCCTGCCTTGGCCATGCCGCTGGCTGCCAGAGAAACCAAAGCTACGTGCTTGTCCTGTCAACCGAGACTCGGCACAAAACAGGTGATTTGAAGGTCTGAAGCCACCCTACCAAGTTGAGCACCTGCTCACTGGTTGAGGTGGTAACAAACGTTTGACCATACCCTACCAGTTCCTTCTAAACTACCCCAATCCAACCTGTACATCAACAGATCATGTGGCGACCTAATTATTGCAAAGATTCGCATAGAGTGAGTGAAAGGGTTTGGTATTTCTCTACATGAGGGATGGAAACCTATATGATCCCCTTGTTCAATCCCTCAAAAATGATCTACGCCGGATCTATCCGTATTCCTTCACCGGTGCCTAGGGGAGGCGAACATCTCCAAAATCGGTTTCACTCGTCCGTGCCTGCCTTGAGAATGCTACCAATAAGTTCTCAGTGACATTTGTAGCAACCACACAGAACTGCATGTGGTTTGGTTGTTTGATGTTGCTTGGTTCTTGCATGGTTTCGGCCCATCAACTGAACCAAACCAGCCCACGAACACATCGTTCGTCTGCGTGGTGCCCGGAGTCTTGAGTCTTCCCGAACCCTCTCCTCACGGCTGAAGCATTTGACTGTCCTGGCAGTTTCGGAGTGAGAACGACTCCAAACATGTGAAGGTTCCAGCAGTCACAAGACGGGGTGCTTAATGGAGGTTAGGGGTGCCCATTATCCACTCACTTAGGGACTAAACACCACCCCTTTGTGACTGCTGGTTCTGAGAGTTTCAAGGAGTGAAGCTGAGATGTCACATTGCTGAGATGTCGCCGATTCTTTCCAAAGAATGTTCTTAAGAAGGGAGTGTTCAACAACTATATGTTCCCCACGGTTCCCCGCAAAATGAAACATATCCACGCACGCATTGAACACGAACCACAAAGCACCCATGTGAGTGAAGGATTACACAAAAACAACAATATTGGTATATATTGGTGGTGCGCTACTTGGCAAACGGATGTCCAAAACCCCAAATTGACCTGTGGGAGCACTATTCATCGCAGGTTATGTATGGATTTGTCTTCCAACAGAAGTTGTTTATGTTGGAATTTGACTCCCTCGCGGAATACTAAAGTCTTCATCTCAACATCACACCCCATGGCTTTGCCAAGAGTGTCCTGATCATCCAAACTGCTTCCTGCACGACTCCTGACCTTAGTTTGCCAATGCGCAAACAAAAACGCGAACTGGATGACCTACCCACTGGATCTACGTAGTACGGTTGACCGACATTTTCCGGTAGGTGGACCACGCGAGTGGTCTGACAGGACGCTTGGTCGTTGAAATCATCTGACTGACTGTCAGGCTCGAACCATAATATATATAAATGTTCTTTTAAATACGTTTACAATTCTGGCGGGATCATCGCATCGCGCGCATGGAATGCATGCTCATGGTTCTTGAAAGCAATTAATCCTTGAAATATGTACCTGGGTCCAAGTCAAAGGCACACTTGAAACAAGTTTGCCTATATGACGGCAGCGTGCGGCCTTCTACAACTTTGCTTCGCATGCCCTGCGGAGCGTTTTGAAAATGTCATCGAGTCATCCAGTAGTTGCGCGCTGCTACTCTGAGAGTGGCTAGATTCCTACTTAGTGGTTCAGGCCTTGTTACAGAACTTAGATTTATTGCAACAGCAGGCGAAACATCTAGTTACACACACGGATTAGTTTGGGCAAGTGGCGCCCAAGTTCCGTAAGTAAATGTGGGAATCAGTGTGTTCAGCTTAACTTACTTGGAACAAGTTAGGGTACTTACAAGTAGGCAAGCGCGATGCGTGTTTCTTCAGCAGTTCACGCGCGGACGTTCTGCCTTGAACCCTGTCCTTGGCATTTTTCTTGATGGTTATTTTGTGTCTTGAGTGAAGTTTTCTCTCTTTTCTCTTGTCTTCAACAAATTTGTAAGAAAAGCAGCAGCTAGTCGCTGATGTTTTGCTCTCTACTACTACTACTGCTACTACTACTACTGCTACTACTACTACTGCTACTACTACTTTAAAACTACTACTAGATCTGACGTGCACTTGACTTCATTGAACACGCACTGCTCGATCCCCATAGAGGCGGACCCCTTTTTGGCTGAGTCTGAGAGCTGGGCTACTGACATGCCAACCACTGGCAGGATCCCCGTTTCGGGGCCCGGCGTCTATTCTTAGCCCCTCAGCGGTTAAGGGGTGTCCTTCAATCACCCCTTGGGTCCTGGTATAGGTTTTGGTTGATGTTGTTGGTCACGAAAACCGAGCATTCTTATCATTCTTGAACATTCTCTTGACCAAAAAACAAAAGAAACAGGACTTGGCCCTCTGGTGAGATTTCGTGATCATTGGGCGGATAACACAAAAACCTTTGCTCTGCTCCGCGCGCCCCAGTGACCGCTGACAAAAAACTCAAGACGACGCATGTCATGTCACTCCAGACGCCCCTCACCAATGGCTCCTCGAATATTCAAACACTCCCGACATAGGTCTCCAAAGTAGATGGAATAAGATGCAATAGTGGCGAAACCCAATTAGTCAAATGGGAGAGAACAATAAAACAGTATTCACAACATTATTCCCACACCCTGAATAGTTTAAGATCAAACATCACCCAATCATCATAATATATCATAAGAATCATGTCAACTCTTGCCGGTATCACAGTCCTTTGCACCCAACGTTCCACACGCTAGGCCCCCAGCGAGATGTGTTGCAGGCCATTCTCTCGGCGCTGCTTTGCGCGCAAGCTCTGCTCACAATACCTGCACTGAAAGGAGCAAAGAGCTTTACGGGTCTCCTAAAGACTAAAGAACATGTTTGACCCTCCCCGAAACAACCATAGAAGTGCAATACAGCCTGTTCGTAGAGGAAAACCGTCTTCCTTTCGGGGCTGTGTTCCACGTAACCATGTTTGTTGGATGGAGGGTAACTCGTCTTGGACTTCCAGGGCTGCTGCAAACCATCGAAGTCATCAGGGTGATCAGGGTGTCAGGGTGGAGGTGTATACGACTGGATCCCTACGACTGACCTTACCTGCGAGTTGCGACGTGACCGAGGTGTGTCAACTTCCACCAACAAATCATCAGGATTGCCTACTACGTATACGTATAGTGGTCCTACTATGTATAGTCGTGCACGGTGTCCAATACAGTACATTCTGAAGGAGGGGATCTAGCCTTTCTATTTGGAGGTCTACATGGCATTGGGTCAAAACCCTGGCACCCGTCCCGGATCAATTGAACCAATATGAACAGATTCCGCTATGTTCAGGATATCAACCTCCTGAAGTTTTGACCAATCCACCCATGAAATATCATAAAACTAATCTAAGACGATCCCAACTCATGGGAGGATGCATCCCAATTCTGGCACCCAGAACTTACCTCGTCACTGGTCGAACTTACCTTGTTGCTCATCCATGGTCAGCCCCACCTATTGCTACCTACCTCGACCGACTCGGAGGGCACAGGCCCCACATGCCGCAGCGACCCAGCTGCGACCCGGTTTCAACGAAACAGGACCACATAGGAACAAAAAGGACCAAGTCCCAAAGGGTTTTTCACATATCTGAAACCACCCACCAGTTACCTACCCTATTCTGACACAACAATATCTCCGATCACCTTCTGAGAAGGTACTTGGATCTTTTGGGCTGGATGGGTCATCAATGACCGATAGTCCACTTGGTCGAGCGACAGATGGACCAACCACAACCCATCAATCTGGCATATGTTCTGACGCAAACCATCCCATATATATGGAATAGTTACATATGGAATACACATATAACATAATATACAGTCTATATGTATCCCATTTGTGACCCTAACTTAAGTAACTACTCCATACATGGATGGTCTGGGCTACATTATCCTTGAAAATGCTGGAAACATCTTGAAACCGGTACAATTCCAAACACTTCATGGGACTGGACTAGTTATAATATGTTATAGTTACATTGGAGTCATAAACGGTATGTTATAGTTACATTGGGATCATAAATGGAAACACACGGTAGTATTCAACAATTCCATGGATGGATGATTTGGCTGTGGCTCAAAACCGGGACCCCGGTTGACCACGGAATATGAACAGAAGAGACTCTCATTCCAGATCAACCGATGCTTAGGACAGGGGCTTTGGGTTTTGACCCACAGGCATTTGGGGATGGTCTTAACTGAAACTGCTTCCTTCTTTGTCTCCCGATGTTGGCGGCCGAGAAGTGGAGAAAGCCATCTGCAGTGACTTCCCGAGCCGTTGTCCTTGAACAAAAAGGTTCGCCAAACTGTTCAGGTCATATTTAGTGGGGTGCCACCAATCTCCAAAACAGGTTTTGCAGGTTATCCACGTACTTCCTGGGTAGGATTCCAATTACAACTCCGGATCCCTAACTTGGGGTCCTGGAAGATCACAGGGGCGCTGTTTAGACTTCTTGGAGAACCACGTACAAAACGGAAGCGTCGAAGCTTGCCACGTGCAAATCAAGGAACAATCCTTCGAAATGGTTGATTCAGTGCTATGAAGTGCGTGTTTTGTTGGCGTGTGCTCTTTCTGCGAACAGACGGGGCCCTCCGAAAATGGCTCAATGCTTGGTCAGCTCGAAATTGGGCATGCTTGTGCACGCTCGGCTGTTCTTTTTTCAGCTACCACGCAGTAACAACGGTCAATTTCAAGGGGTCATAGAGGCTCAACGTTTAAAACATAGTTCCCATGAAATGAAGAGGTTCATGGAAGAGATCTTGAACTACTCCTGCAGATATCTGCAGGAAAAACAGTCAACACATGTTCAAAAGTAGGGGCCTTGTCGGGAGGAATTCGGTATTTTCCACTCTATGGAGTACTGACGGTTCTGTATTCCATGAAAATCACTATCTCATAAGATCCTCATAGATCCTCCGCATTCAGGGCCCTTTGGTCGACATGACCCGACAGCTGGAGCCCGTCATTCGTCGACGGAAAACACCTGGATGGCGAGGCCTTCTTGGTCGCCGTGTGTATGTTCCGCTTGTGGCGTGAGACTAAGAGGAAAAACACTCTGAAAAGGAAAGACATCCAGCAGTCACAAGACGGGGTGCCATCCATGGAGGTTAGGGGTGCTCCTGTCACAACCACTCACTGGATGGGACTAAACACCACCCTGACATGTGACTGCTGGATGTTGATGCACAAAATGGATGCAAAAACTACCAGCACCTTCCAACAGGTCTCCTCTGGAGGCTTTTGCTGACCTAAAAGTCGCAGGTGGTTGACCCGTTGAAACATCGGGTGTTCTAATTCCAGTTGGCTGGAATAAAATTCTCAAGAACTGTGAGGTTTGCTGCCATTGCCTTCTCACAGGTACTGATGGCTGCACTGTAGCTAATCAGGTTTGGCTGTACTCCTGCTTTCAGCATGGCGTCAAACAACCACAAAGCATATTGCCATGGTCCGTCTTTCTCCAAGGCAGAAAGAATCGTATTAAAGCTAATCACATCTGGCTGAACCTTAGCTTTCGGCATGTCATCCAACAAAAGCATTGCAACTTCCCACTGACTGCTTCCCTCACACGCGGTCATGGCAGCATTGTAGCTGATCACATCTGGTTGAAGACTTTCCTTCGGCATAGCCTCCAGCAAAACCAATGCTTGTTGCCATTGCCCGCCTTTTTCGCAGGAGCTTATGGTGGCACTGTAGCTAATGACATTGGGCTGCACATCTAATGTTGACATGGCATGAAACACCAGCAATGCCTGCTGCCAGTGCCCGCCCTTCTCACAGGCACTGATAGCAGAAGTGTAGCCAATGACATCTGGCTCAATGGTAGCTTTGGGCATGGCCTCAAGCAACTTCAAGGCTTGCGGCCATTGCCAGCCCTTCTCATAGGCACTGATGGCTGCATTGTAGGTAATGACATCTGACAAAGCTTTTGCTTTGGGCATGGCCTCAAACAAGCTCAGCGCTTGCTGCCACTGCGCACACTTCTCACAAGCACTGAGAGTGGCGTTGTAGCTTATGATATTTGGCAAAAGCATGGCCTTAGAGATGCCCTCAAATACTGCCCAGGCTTGCTGCCATTTTGCGCCCTTCTCACAGGCACTTATAGCAGCACTGTAACTCACGACATCTGGCCGTGGTCGACTGGCCGGCATGGCCTCAAAGAACCTCAACGCTCGTTGCCATTGACCCGCCTTCTCGAAGGAACTGATCATGGCATTGTAGCTGATGACATTTGGCTGCACCTTTTCTTTGAACATTGCCGCAAACAACACCAACGCTTGCTGCCATTGCATGCCTTTCTCACAGGATGTGATGATGGCATTGTAGCTAATGGCATCTGGAAGAATACCTACCCAAGGCATCGCTTGAAATACCATCAATGCTTGTTTCCATTGACTCCCCTTTGCACAGGCACTGATGACAGCACTGTAGCTGTGGGCATTTGCCTGGAACTTGGATTTAGCAACAGCTTCAAACAACATCAACGCTTGTTGCCATTGTGCTGCCTTGTCACAGGCACTGATGGCAGCAGTGTGGCAAATGAGATCCGCTTGAACTTTGGCTTTAGCCATGGCTTCAAACAACTCCAATGATTTCAGCCAATGCCGGCCCTTCCCGCAGGCAGTGATAGCCGCAGTATACGAAAGCATATCTGGCTGAAGCGTGGTCCTGAGCATGTCCTCAAAGAGGGTCAATGCATGTTGCCAGTGGCCAGCTTTCTCACAGGCACTGATGACAGCACTGTAGCTTAGGACGTCTGGTGAGCACTGTAGCTCTCGGGGCATCGCCTCGAAGATCCTGAAGGCTTCTTGCCAGTGACCTGCCTTCTGACAGGAACCAATCACGGCGTTGTAGCTGATGACATTTGGCTGCACCTGCGCTCGGGCCATCGCAGCAAACACGTGCCAAGCGTGCTGCCACTGCCTGCCCTTGGCGCAGGCAGTGATGGTGGCATTGTAGCAAACGATCTTGGGCAGCACCCGGGCCCGGGTCATGGACTCAAAAAGCTTCAACGCCTGTTGCCAGTGTTCCGCCGCGGCACATGAGGAAATCCCAAAAGTGTAATCTGACACCTTCCATCTCCGCCTTTGCAACTTCCTTGGCAACTTTGGGGATTTCCACTGATCTTTCTTGGCAACCTGATCTTCTGGCTCCTTCCATCTCCGCTGCTGTCCAAAGATCTTTGGCAACTTGACAGATCGCACTTCTGTCAGTAAGCTAGCCTCACAAATTGGAGGTTCCAAGGATCTCAAACATCCAGAACACAAGACTTCAATCAGGTTCCCTGCCTGTGGTTGTGTCTTTTAGGGAGAAGCCCTGGCCCCATGGGCTTGGTATGGTGGTCCTTGGCACATCTCCCTCTATATTTATTTAGCTTCCCTGCAAGGTGCAAATCTGGTAAAGAAAGAAACACCCTAAACCCTAAACCATCACAAAAGCGGAAACATCTTGCAGAACATTCAGGTCGCCAGCTGCTGGCTGCGCAATCTCTTCATCTTCCATGAGAGGCTTCACCTTCTTGAACTCTATCCTTCCTCGCCTCATTGGAGGGTGTCCTCCAGACTAGGAAGAGACAAAACTCGGGCACCGTGTCCTCCAATTCTGGTGACTGACCAACTGAAAAACCGCTCTGGCGACGGCGGAGTACAGTGAACACGTGTTCAGCACCACTTCCTTGGGCCTCAAATGGAGACGGGCGGGTGTGTGTGCAAAGACTAAAGGTGACCAACTGATCAAGCATACGAATCAATGCTCATCCACCAAAAAAAGGTTGCCTGGATTGTCCCACCAACCCTGGCTTCTCACGAATTGGGCCCGAACTACTCCAAACTCTGGTTCTATCAGCAAAGCCTTGTGAAAAACTGTTTCACTTGTCAAGTACTACAGCATCTAACTCCAAGGCTGAAAACGGACACTTTGTAGAGCGTTTGGTGGCCAAAGAACACTTAACTGATGGATTTGTTGTAGCTTCGAGTCTCTCAGGTTCCGAGAAACAGCCGCCGCTCTCCTTTGTAGAGGAGAGAAGCTTCCTGAAATAAATTCCGAGTCGACCTTCTTTCCAGGTGAGCTATTTCCGGCTGGTAGAATCGCAAAAAAAGATTATTGAACATATGCAATTTAGCTGTAGTGCCGGAAGGCACATAGATTCAAAAGGTCTACCTGGTTTTCGCTACGTATACTAGATTCTCCGAGCCCGACTTTCTAGTAAGATCGAAAGCATATCTGCACATCATTGATGAGCTGTCAGTCAGTTTCATAGCTAACATGGCTAACTATTATATAATATACGTACCTCAGGACAGGTTGGGATCGGGTCTTTGAAATAGCTCCTCTCCTTTACCTACCTAGTTGCCTCTCACTGTTTTTTCTTTGACCTGTGACATCATGTACATACGCCCTATTGTTGACCAGTTCGAGTGGTCGCGGGACGCGCCGCGAATCCGATCTCCCCGTTCCCATCGCCCGTTCAGCTTCACCGAAGGGACTCCGTCGGTTCATCCGTGGGCCCAAGGCTTCCAAGGAAGAAGACCCTGTGACTTAATGTGACTGATCCAGGTACTTCTTGGGAAACGCCGTGGCTCCTCCAACCCTCTCTGGCCGACCTGGACCCAAAGAATGCACGAACACTTGCGAAGTGGATCTGTTTCGGGGGTGGCCAGGGCCAGTGGGGGCACTCAGCATTTGAGGTCAAAGCAGTACATGTGGAGGCTGGCAGCACATATCAAGCTTTGACCTCCCACCAAAGTTCCCTGTCCCAACTGCAGTTCGGAATGCCCTATGCAAGCTGCTTGTTTAGGGCACCTCCGGATGGTTTGCTCCATCAGGGGCAACAGCACGGTGTAGGCCAACCTTTGCTGACTCCAGGGCCGTTTCCCTTCAAAAACTAATCCCAAACACTCCATGTATGGCATATTTATCGATCAGTTGGGGTTTCCATGGTCAAAGGGGCGGCATATATGACAGTCTCATGGGTCGTGTCTGGGAATGGCTAACCATTCCCATTCCATCTGGTCATACTTCGTGCGGTGTCCCCGACCCTGCAGGTGATCCACGTACTGCCCCGGGTAGGTTTGCCTTCTGTTCGATGCCTTTTCTTTCAAACAATCGCGTCGTCATCCGCCAGAGTCCATGTTCAATCGCTGCGATCTTGTTTTTGGAAAAGCCATCCCCCAGTGACATACTTCACCCCAAAGAAAGGTCCGGAGGCTTTGAACGAGTGAAAACTTCGTGACTCCTCCGACAAATGAACAAAATAGCCTTCCTTCGATGTCAAACCATGTCTTACTGATTGGGGTTGTTTGAGTCCTTTGGGCCCCTGAAACCAATGAGTGTAGCTTAGTCCAGTTGGTCCAAAATCGATTCCACAGGTTCCATCATCGATGGTCGGTCCAGAACCCAACCCCGCGGCGATACGCGGTGTCCGACGTGTTTCTTTTGGTCGCTCAAAATCCATGCCATGTCTGGAATAGTTACAAATACAACATCATACAACTACCCCATGACCCATCCACGTAAGACCCGCAGTCCTATTCGTTTGGTCTGAGTTTGATCAATCTACACAACCTGATGGGTCCAAAACGGACACCATCGGAAGCTTGCCACTCCCTCCGGTCGACGTCGAGACCGGTGGTGATCTTGGATTTGCTGCTCCCAACCTGGAAGAACGAAAACGACAAACACTCCACAGGGGGGCGCTTAACCATCGGGAAAATAACACAATTACATAATTACATGAAGCAAAACCAGGTGATTCACCAGATCCTGTGTGGTTGATGGTGGGTGCTCGTTGCGTCACTTTGATCCCTCAGCTCTACAGAAAACCATCTTCCTCCCTCCGCCCACCGCTTTTCGGATCCGCGTCCACGGCACGTCATCAGTGGCGAAATGGCAAAAAGGAAGACTAACTGAGTGGCAAGCTTTACCTTGGACAGCGGTCCAGATGTGACGTATGGACGAAGTGGTACTTTGCAAACAGATGTGATCAGTCGAGTTGCAATTCTATGTTCTTGTTCAATATGTTTGCCATCAAAAAGAGTGTTTTCTTGGCTGACTACACCTTTCAATCTTCCAGTGGCATCATCATATACTTCCGTTCACCCACCATTGCGGCCACGTGCTTGGACATCTTGGATCCCAGTTTGACAAGCACGACCAGGACTACCTACCACGGCCTAATGGTGGCAATCCTGGTTGAACCCAATGTAATTGAAGGGTTTGGTAGTCTCATGCCAGCCTTTGTCGTCTGCACTTCTGAGAGTTCTTCGTTCCAAAATGTCAAAACACTGTATCACACCATCTCACACCCGACCACTACAGGTCTCAATCACATGTGTTCCACCCTTTCCGATCTCCCAAATCGACCGCCGTAAACCATCAAAACATCACCACCAAAACATCCCACCCTTCAAACAAGAAAACAAAAAAACACACATCCCATCCCTCCCAAACGCGATCTCACCATCGTCCTCCTTCTCTCGACCTTCCGTGACTTCCATCCGTCCGTCGACGCCCGGTGACGGTGTCCGCGGCCATTTGCCACACCCACTCCGTGACCTTCCCACGATGGGCTTCACGAGGGGGCGCACGCGGAAGGCCGAAGCGGCTTCACGACCGAATGAGACGGGAGATGGACGATCTAAGGAGCTGAAAGGTTAGGCCCCTTAGTCCCATGGGGGTGTATTATGCAATGTTTTTTATATTAATTTGTCATTAGTCTCATGGGGGTGTATTGGATTCGCAAAGTTGCTGTTCAAAGAGGACTCATCCGCATCCTGAACCAAAAATGGTCGTTTTGTACGCATCCTTGCCACCATCCGTAAGCCGTAGTGAGTTTGGGACCGTGAAACATTTGGAAACATTGGTGATCTTGAGATCTTTTCGCACCACTCGAGGTCTAAAACCATATCATTAAAAAAACACAAAAAACTGTGATTTGGCAGCAAACAAAGGTGGAAACCATGAAAACAGGATCAGACTCTCCTCATCATGCCACGCAACACATGGATGGGTCTGATGTGGACGGGTCTCACTGGATTTGAACCATCTGTCGACATGTTCCCGTCGTTTTCCTCGAGAAACCACCCATCCCCAGTACGCCGAGACCAACCAAAAAGCTGTCCCTTTTTTATAAGTTATAAGCACTCCATGTCGGCAACCACTAGGCCCTGCAGCTTGTTTATTGTTTTAACATTAATATGACTATTGTGGTTTTATCTCAATCATTGGCCTATCTTAACATCGGCCGTGGGCCGCGTCTTAATCTTTATCAACCAGAAATAGCCATCCGCCCGCAGTTCACCCATCCACAACTCGCTCCAACCACCCGTTGAGCCACCGCCCATGGCAGGCGGCTGCAAGCCGCTAGCCTCGCTCATGGCACGGAGCTCCACCTTCTGCACCAAGTCCCTCTGCCGCAGCGTGTCGTAGAGAGCCTGAGGAGTCGGATGTCCCACGACGGAGTCCGCTGGAGACTGGGTGGAGTTCACTGCCGGACTCAGCATTCTTTGTCTTACACAGTGACTGGGACAGCGACAGTGACTGGGTTGAAGTAGGGGCATCTTCTCAGGTTTGTCTGATGCTTTCTGATCAAGTGTAGATTATGTGTATATATATAGGTAGATTCATATATATATATATGATATATGTGTGTTCTCCTGATATCAAATTCAAAAAGATCTCGGATTGATTTACCATTTTAGTCACTTCCACCTAGAAGTGAAGATGTTGTCAACATCACCCCCGACGTAGTTCCTTTTCCTACACTAACTATCACCAGCCCTGGTTTCATATCCATACATTAAACCGGCTGTGGTTCCAAACAATGCTTGAACAACACAGTAAACTGGACTTCTTCCAAACCGGCTTTGGTCTTCATGTCTTCACCCCCCCAGGCCGTGTTTTTACACACACCGGCTTTCGACACCGGCCGTCCGGTATGTCCACACCGGCCTGGTCCTGTGAGAGAAGATGTTCAAACATGGCGATTCGCATCTCTGTGTTCTGCTGATCCTTCATTGCCTGGCACGTCGCTGCGACGAGCAGGCACGAGGCTACGAGCGAGCGAGCAGGCAGCCGGACCGAGCGAGAGCGACGGTCCGGCTACCGGAGGCGCCATATGGTGCAGGCGAACAGAGTAGGTGGCTGCCAAGTCTGGCACTGGAGTAGGCGTGCTTTTGGGAGGGTAGCAGCTACTGGTGGGTTTTGGATCATCCTGGAGTCAACAAAAATGCAATCTACAGATTCTTGCAATAGTCTGTGGTTTTGGACTTGGTCAATTGTAAAGGTGGGTGGCCAATTTCTTTTCTGGTGACCCCTACTTTGGTGGGGCCAGGAACTATGTTCCTCCCAAACCTCATGATCTAGTGCAATCTCTCCTGCGCTTCGTAACATGTAGTGAATCAGAGCGGTTCAGATCCAACCATCAAGTTTGAAGGAGGTTCTCCGGGGTTTCCCCCGTTTGTTTATACACTTGAGGGAACAAGACTCATCTGGTTATTCCGAACTCATACAGGTGCCCTGTTGCTACTCGTCATCCAGCAGGATTCTTGCACTGATTGCTGAATGTTTGGGGTTTGTGTCAATCTACTTGTGGACAGTCCAGTCATGATGAACACACTCTTGTAGAACTGGTTGGTCCACGCTCTATGAACACAGGTAGCTTGCAATGAATTCAAATCAGTTTGATCAGGGGCAACAAGGTTCGACCCACGAACTCTGGAAGACCCTCCAACCACTGGACTCTGGCAGTTCCGTGCAAGAACCTCCTACCATCCACAGGGAAAACCGTGGTACCTGTTTGTGCCGAAAAGTTCCAAGCCTTCAGAGCATTTGGACACCCTGGCATTGATGCCATTGATATACTTCAGGATATTCTAATTCAATATTGCTGACATCATCATACTTCAATACCCTTGTCCACGACAACACAGCCAACAAACATAGAAATGAACGCCTACTTAAGAACACATGTTCGTAAGGGCGCCCCTTCCTTCAAGATGGCCCCGCGGGACATGCTGCCCAAGTTGCCTTGCGGATTTGGCTTCTGGTAAAGAGAACAGCCACCATAACTACAACCACAACAACAGCTACAACCCAGCAGCAACAAAAACACAACAATAACAACCAAACACCGCCACAACAAACAACCAACCAAGCAAACGAGCAACCAAACAACCAAGCAACCAACCAACCAACCAACCAACCAACCAGCCAACCAACCACCAAACCAAACCAAACCAAACCAAACCAAACCAACCAACCAACAAACCAACAAACCAACAAACAAGCAAACAAATCTCACCTGTTTGTCCCTGCCGCCTGCCACTCAACCCTCTGCTGGCCTGCTGTTTGGCGTAAGCCCTTTAATTAAGAATACATGTCATTCCCTAGGGCTCCAGGTACCTTTTGAGAAGGTGTTTGGGGTGGGTTTGGGGGGTCCAAACACCTTCTGAGGAGGTACTTGGAGCCCTAGGGATTGGCATACTCATAAGAATACTTCTTGATGGGCCAACCGTTCCACCGGACGACAGGCCCTCCCAACGAGAGCCTTCTTGATGCCATCGCCCACGACCTGTGCGTTGGTGTGTTCTTGTTCACGGCGCGTGTGTGTTTTTCTCCGGGGACATGATGTGATTCAATAGCGCGGGCCAAGGGACCGGCAGGGTTTGAATCATGTGCCCCATTATTCCTGGAAGTTCAAGACTATGGTGACCCGAGAGATTTAATTGACCATGGTGGTGCCAAGAATAGTCGAACTGGACTTCTAGGGTTTTGCATGCCCCAGACACTCCTTGAAAGGAATAGTTACGTTGACTCGGGGCGAACCCCAATGTACTAGTAGGGGTACAAAAATGACATACTTGGCCCAACCATCGTCATCCATTGTTCGTGGTAATAGGATAGACCCGATCCTTAACCTTTATTATTATTGTTCTTTAATGTAATATGTACATTAGTATGTACATTATTTTGTTAAGGTAGGACGCCCTGCTGAACATAAGATGAACACTATGACATGTAGTGAGAGAAGGTGAGTATATTTGTCAAGCAGGGGCATGTTTGACCATTTGGCGTAGGGTGAGCACTTTAGACCTATGAGCGCTTCATAGAAGTAAAATCCCAGACCATCCATGGAAAGTTACCGAAATTTGGGTTACAAATTGAGTAAAGGTATATTGTATGCAACTATTCCAGTTCCACAGGTCTGGGTCAACTATCATGTGAACATCCTGCACATGAACTCTGGGCACCGCCATCTTCCACAAGCTTCTTCAGCATCGTGTCAGAAGATGTCCTCTTCTCTACATGGCTCGCAGATAGGATGCCCCAATGCTGGTTATTATTGAAAATTGTTTACCGACTGTTACAGGTAGTAGGACAAACCCAAGTTATAGCCTTCGACTGCGAATGGGTCCCTTTTCTTTGAGCGTGCATTCCACCCACCAAAAAGGCTGAGGACACGGGCACGTGCGAGGCCCTGCACGATGGCCGCCAGCATCAAACCGAGGATCACCGAGCGAGCCTAGGAGACTGGGTGCCTGCTATCAGGCCTCCAGTAATGTAGACTTTGGAACAGAAACACACCATTTGAATTGGAAATCCTTTTCATATGGGGGCTTATTGTCAAGGATCTACACTAAGATCAGTTCTCATCAGCCGATTGCAGGGACTGTTTTCCTGCCATGCACACATTTGATGTCGAAAGTCCAAAGCCCTGTCGGAAAGCAGATTCATCCTACTTATTCCTACTCTTTTCTATGTTTTGCGTTTCTAGGTGCTTTCTACCTATTTCTAGCTATTTCAAATGATTTCTTGGTCAATTGTTAGCTAATCTAAATTCATTTTCTTTGTTCGGATATAAACCAACAATTTTCAACATATCTTCTACTTGTGTTTGGCTAATTCCCATTATTTTGTATTTCTTTCTGGCTGATTTCAATCATAAACGTTCAATTTTTTGTTGACACAAGCATTCGAACAAGTGTTTGGCACGCATTTTGCTTGTGAAGCGGCCCCAGGGACACTCTGCTTTGTACAGGCAAGCGGCCTCAGGACGCTCTTTTTTCGTAAATATTCGTAAATATAAAAAACATTGACTTGATCTGACAATCAGTTTTCAGTGTGACTTTCTTCAGGCCCGGATCACCATGTATTTGAATGTATCTGGACGTATCGGCCTCATTTCCGCGACCTTCCAGGAAGGCCCGGTACATCCAGATACATTTGGATACATCCTCCGGCACCCCTTCACAATGTATCTGGATATATCGGCCTCATTCCGCCACCTCGCAGGAAGGCTCGATACATCCAGATCCATTTGGATACATGTCGCGGGGCCCCTGGTCACCAATGAATCGGCCTCATTTCCTGCCACCCCCACAAAGGCCCACATACATATTCATGCGTTGAATTTGGAACCAAGTACTGGAATTTAGATATCGATTTCAATGATGGATGGATTCGGACATGTTTTACTGTGGTGCGCAAAACATTGTTTGGCCGAAGTTTCAGCTTGGCTCGATTGTATCATTTTCGTCGTCCCCCATGAACTGGTAGGGGAAACAGATCAATTTCCGAAACAAACCACTTGGAAACAAACCAGCCGCCTAATGGCCGCTCTTTTGCAAAAAACCGGCGGCCTAGTGGCCGCTCTCTTACAGTATTTTCAATAAAACGTTGCTTCAAAAACAAGCCTTCTGCTTTTCAGAAAACATATTATGTTTTCTTATTTTACCTGCTTCCTTTTGAATGATGAGCCCCACTTTAAAAAAATAGTTTCTACTTATTTCTAGCTTATTTCTACTTATGTCTATAGCTAAGAAAATTCCATAAGTTCACTTGATGTACCTCAGCTAGCCTCAAGTACCAAGTAGTCACGAAGTAACTATTAATCGTTATTTTTCGTGGTGTAAAAAACTCTTGAAAGCGAGACCCAATCTGCATTACTGTAGTTTGGTAATAAGATCCTTTGCCGTTTGCAATGACGGCGGCTCAGACAAAGGCGTTAGAGAAGCCATGAGGCGACTTGCTGGAAGCACAAAAGGCCAGAAGGAGTTTAAGGCCTGTCAATCTCTAGAGAGCGGCTCAGGGCACTTGCTGCATTTCCTTGCCACTCTGGCAGGCCTGTTCAAAGCCAATGAAGCTCTGTGACACTTTCACCTCAAAGGGCTGGCCTTGAAAAAGGCTTAGGAAAGTTGTCACAGGCACTGTCTTTTGCCCAAACTCCACAGGCCGGGCTCCCTCAAGTGGTTGGACAGGCAGTGCGAGATCTCCACGAGTCGCTCATTCATCGGCCTGACCGGGACCTTGAGAATGTGTTCAGGGCCAATGTAGGCCTGAGCACCGGGCTGGAGCTGCAGTGGTACGTCACGTTCATGTGAATCATCGTACCGGACAATCTTCTGGACCTTTCGCCTCGGGGCAGGCTCAGATGGCTTGGGCATCTTCTTGGTAGCTACCTTTGGGGCAGCACCAACAGTCGATGATTCCGGCAAGCCTTCTTTTTTGTTCACTGCTGCCCACGCGCTGAAAATCAGAGGGCTCAAGTCCGGACATCTTTTTACAAGGTCCAAGGTCGCAGTGCCTGCCTTGGACTGGGCAGCCATGGCCTTGCTGGACTTGTAGCCTGCAGGGTCATTGTCTTCCAAGACCCTCCAACTTCGATGCGCGTCTGGATGCTCTTTCTCCGACGCCTGTCAGAATGGGCCAGCATACATTTTTTTGGCAGCCTCTCCATTCCACTTGCCCTTGGTGACGTGTCACAGCAAAACCTTGCCATTGCCGATGGCACATCACTCTTGCTGACTTGACACCGGTGTTTTTTGCATCATAGTAATAGGGGGTTTTACGTATCCTTCTGTAAAGACCCTTTGCCTCGGACGGTATGCGCCTCGCACGCTGCGTCTTGCAGCATAGTCACGAGCCTTTCCAGTGTGGTAGATTTGGAATGTCTTGTTGTCAATGACCGCGTGGATCTACTTGCGCAGAGCTTCGGCGACGGTGCGCTTCAGCCCACTCGAGCCTAGCCTTTACATCAGCTGTGGATAAGTTGGGCTTCTTGTACAGTGGGCGGAAGCATATGCCATGAAGCCAAAAGACACAGCTTGCGGTTTTGGTGCTGCATGTCAACTTCATGCGCGTCTTCACCATGTTGACACTCACCTCTTTCCCCTGGTGCTTGCGCAGCAGCTTCCCGTAAACCTTCCTGAACTGGGCTTCTGGGATAGTAACTGGACGACCTACTTGGGCAGTCTTCTTCATGCGCGAGCAAAACCTAAAGTCATCTGGCGAAAAAGGACTTTACTCCCCCACCATGACATGTCAGTTTGACCAGTTTCTGACATGTAATCAAGGAATATTTTGGCATTCCTTCTGACATACCTTCTGATATTCTTTCTGACATTCTTTCTGGCATATCTTCTGACATTCTTTCTGGCGTTCTATCTGGCATATCTTCTGACTCGCTGTTGAGGTCAACTGCCAGCCGAAGCTCGCGGTTGAGGTCCGGCGGCTGCCCGGAGCTGGCAATTGAGGTCCGGCGAGAAACACTGCCGTCCGGAGCTGGCGGTTGAGGTCCGGCGCGGAACACTGCCATCCGACACTCGCGGTTGAGGAGGCAGAGGACCAGGAGGACGAGGAGGAGGAGGAGGAGAGGAGGAGGAGGAGAGAAAAAGAAAGGCAGCTGACATAAATCTGACAACCCTCACCTGAAAGGTGGGGAACAAATCTGAGTTTGAAAATATCTGTCAAATCTTTCACTGGCGTCGCTCCTGTTCTAAGACAATACAGCTTCCTGCAGCGTTAGTTGAAGGCTTTCGTAAAGCAATTCCATCGGTAGGTGCTGATGAATGCTACGAACAATGGCCTGCATGTCAAGTAGAGAATTACATACTGTGTCACATAGCCACGCAAAATGACACAGCAAGTACCTTCGCATTTTGCAGCAAACGCCCTCCGCTTATTTCCTGGACACTATGTCTCCAAAGTCTGACTTCTTGAAGTGTGTGGCTGCGCATGTTGACTATAGCAACGGGGCTACGGAGCAAAAGCAATCCAAAAGCTCGCGGCCCACTCGATGATGAAAAAGGGAAAAGCCAAATGGGTCACTTTCCAACACGTGTCCCAGGAGGAGGGCCAGCGGCATGGGCGAAAGCCTGCAGGTCCCGGCATGGGCGTAAGCCTGCGGGTTCCCGGTCGTCACTGGTCAGTGGTCACTGACAAAGGTCGGTCCAAGCATCTTTTCAAGAAGAACCGCAAGGTGTCAGAGTATGGATACCAGATTCCAGGTGTTCATTTTGAAAGCTTGTTTGTGTAACATGGAAAGATGCAAACCAAATAAGGCAAATAATAGGGAGACACTTAGGTAGACAGTAGATGGACAAAATCATTAAACCCCATGGAACATCATGTTGTCTCCATGACCCCCGCACCCAAAATCTCAATCTTACAAGTTCAACTTCCTCAGGGCTTCAAGTGCTTCCTCAGAAGGTATTTGGACCCCTCAAACCCACCACAGTCCCACCAGCTGAGGAAGTATTTGGAGCCCTAGGGATCAGTTTCGTCCATTCGGCCCCAGTCTCAGGGCAAAATGTCAACATTGAGCTTTTGGGGGTGGGGGGGAAGTGTATGTGGTCAAGGGTTTGAATATTTCATCCATCTACGGAAGGTTGACCTTAGTGAAACAATGGTATTGTGAACATCACCCTTTGCACTGATTCATATGATGTTTGTAATTGTTTTTGTCCACCCCTTTGCACCCGCACCGTGAATTAGTTTCACCGAACCCCGCCGCGCGGACACCAACCGAGGCCCACCCGACGCCGATCCCAGTGACCAAGGGCAGTCGTCCGCTACAACCGAAGGTCCACGAACACAGGAAGTGCCTCGGAGCTCCGCCCGGGACGTGAAACGCGCGCCGCACGTGTGACGTGGCTCCTTGGCGCCAAACCCCGGGATCTGCTTTTTGCTGAGCCTTCCATGTGGTTGCGGTGTGGTTGCAGTTGTCAGTGTGGGTTCCAAACGGAAATTTGCAGACCATCCGTAGGACTGGGAGAGTTGCGCCCAGAAAGCCGGAGGAGTTGGAAGAGGTTGGAACGATCTTTTTGGGTGGCACCTCAAATAACGTACTTTACTAACTGAATTCCACCTATAAAGAATGTAATGGATTAACATATTCCTGGACCCCCAAGGGGTGGTTGATGGACACCCCTTGACCTCTAAGGGGCTATTAATGGACACTCTTTCCGTGGTGCTGGTTGTTTGGTGACTTCTTTTTGTTCTCCATGCCTACCAGCCGGTCTGGTCTGGTCTGAACCGATGTTTCGCGTCGGATCGCAACGTCAGAACGGATCGCAACCGCGACTGGACGGATGGCACGGCGGGGTCTTCTACCCCAAGTACCTGCAGTTACAATGGTTTCAGAGTAGATACAGTGATATACCCTGCAGCTACAGTGGGTATGTCTTGTAGACATCTTGATGGGTATGTAGACATCTTGATGGCACTGGCACCCAAAGAGATGTCTTTTCTGGTGTCCTTTCCGCCGAGCCACCTCTTGCGGATTGGCACTGGCTCTACTCTGAAACCACTGTAAGGAGATGACCGGACCAGGTGCGGACTGTTAAAACAAAACCACTTGTCCATGCCTGCCCCATTTGCAAGCAATGGTCGTTGGACGAAGAGTTATGTATCCTGTATCCATGTACCCCATATAAATAACCCATCTACTAGGACCCACAAGGGGTGGTTAATGGACACCCCTTAACCTCTAAGGGGCTTTCAATAGACACCCCTTAGGGTGTCCTGGTATTGGAAACCATATATGGGATCAGTCTCATGGATGGTCTGGGATCTCTCGGAAAATCGCATGGGTCGCCGACCCCCTCGCCGACCCCCAAGTCAGTCACTACCCGACTCCCCAGACCGTTTCCATGGAACGAAACGGTTCACCTATTCCGCCTCTTCGCATCTTTTGGTCCCCAATCACCGAAGAAAAGGTTAAAGGATAGCCACTATAGCCAGGTGGTACGGAGTTTTGTAGCAGTTAATTGCCCTCAGAGCGTTCATGGCCCGCTCAAAACGCGCCTCATCAGCTTTGAAGCTGACGATCATGCACCAGTCTTGAGGGGATGTGGAACCCTCGTGTGCCAACTCCCGACAATGTGTTCCACTGGCGGCTAAGTCTTTTCATTCCTACACTCCAGCAAGCCCTACAAAACATCTTAAGGGTTTGTGCATCTACTCTGAAACCACTGTACTGAATCCAAACAAAAAGAGTGGTCCTCATGAGGTTTGCAACCAAAGCGCGCCAAAAGCCAACAAAAATTCCAAAAATCCGTCTGGGCAGCCGCACAAGAAGTGTGACTCCCTCTCCACCTGTCTTCACCCGCGATCTAGTCTTTCTATGCAATCCGCTGACTTGCCACTCTACCCTCAGCTCTACCTATCCCAGACACTCCATGTATGGCATATATGCCTACATTGACCCCTGAAACCACCCCAATGTAGGTAAACATGCCATACATGGAGTGTTTGGGTATGTCAAAGCATTTTCGAGGAAACCGCCAAATATGTTTGGATACGTTCGGATCATCTAAATATGAAGCTGGTTGAAAAAGGAGCTATCTAACATCCCTCCGGAAAGGAACAGCAGCCCAGAAACACGTCGGGAACAAAGGCAACAACAACTGGTGAACAACCTCACAGGATGTTCACGAGGAATGCTGGAAAGGCAGCCAGGGCAGCCTTGAAATGAATGTGGTCCTATAAACCGGTTCAATGCATCGCTTTCTCCTGAAAATCTCACGGCTGATGATGTCCTTTTGTGAGTCATAGAAGGCCGGGTCAGTGCCAGGTACCATACTATAGCCATAGCCTATATTGCCCAGACACTCCATGTATGGCATATACGCCTACATTGATCCCTGAAACCACCCCAATGTAGGTAAATATGCCATACATGGAGTGTCTGGGTTGGTTGTACATGACCCGGGGCTCAACGTAAAAGCATGTTTAACACAAAAAACACATCCCACAATCACCGCCCCAGCGCGCGCAAACAAAATCTAACACACACACACAGAGCGCGCCGCGGGTCCTGGACACGCGGGGGAGGATCGCCATGGGCACCTCGTGACGATCGCCATTCACCAAGTTGAAGACCGCACCGGTGAGCACCTCAGTCGCTCCTGGACTCGGATAGAGCCAAGGAGAGGCGAATCAGAGCCGTGAGGACGCATGTGCCACGCAGTTTGGCACCCCCATTTGAGGCTGCGGAAGCCATGCGAAAAATATGTCAGGTGTTGCAAAAGGAAACATGTTGAAAATGGTTGAAATATCCAAATCCACTATATATATATATATACACATCTATAATTGGATGTATACACTCATATAATACCAGGACCTTCCAACAGGTGGTTTTTGGACACTCCTTGAGCTCTAAGAGGCTATTTATAGATACCTCTTGGAAGGTCCTGGTAGTGGATATATACCGCATTTTGTGGGAAGCAGCGCGCAGGGAGCTTCCTGTCTCGTTGTGCATGATCACGATGCCACCGACGCATCGTATATGGCATGGAACGGGGGGGTACTCTGTGTCAACGTGGGTGATGGCACTTTGCTTGAGAACTTGGGGGTATCTTCTTAGTTTCAAGCAAATTCTCACCCAAGAATGTCAGGCTCCACCAAATACAGTATAGAACACTTCCGGCCTCCAGGTTCCTGGTCCCCGCGCTGTGCTGAAAATGGAGCCATAAGCATGCACAGACCAGACCTCGTCGACCGGGTCGACCCGGGTCTCCCCGACCGGTTGCCATGCGTCGCAGGCTGACCTCAGGCTTTGCGGCGACGCTCCGTCGAACCCGGTGAGACTGGCAGAGGTGAACACAGGCAACCGACCAGGACTGGTGGTTTCAGAGGTGAAAGCGGGGCACAAAACCGATGTGATAGACAAAGGGTGGTTGTGGTCCACCACAAAACCACCAGACTTGAACAGTTGAGACATGTTGTGCCTATCGATACCTCTCCATCCACTTCTCCCCAAACACTCCATTTCGGACCGACCAAAGGACCTGTCTTCAGGTGTTTTCATCCATGTGCCAACACGTCGTCCGTCGACACGTCGTCTTTTGGGTGCCAATTGAAAGCGAAGGGTTCGCCCACCGGTCGTGGCGACCGGTCTCGCCCGGGTTTTGGATGCGACCGGGGTCCGATTTTTGTTGGGGGTAAAGGTAGCATGCACTGAGCCAGGGAAGGGGACTCCACTGAGCCACTGAGCGGAAGCCTCGCATATACTAGCTTACAGGTCACCAGGTTTGGATAGAATTTGAAGGATATTGTGAACAGTAGAGCAGGATTGTGTGAACAGTGCGCATGGGGTTGACGAACAGGTGATCCACGAAGCGCACGTGTTCCTTTTCCGTGTTTTGGTGGCACATCAAAGCCTCTCAGGTTGTTGTGGGCGTGCCTGCAACTAAGGGACATTCTTCTTATAGTGGGTTGAGAGTAGATGGCACAAACCCCAATGACGGTGGTTTAGTAGTGAGCCCCCATGCAAAAGAACATCTTGAGGTCTGTGTCTGTGCCTCGTGCAAGGTTCGGGCCTAAAAATGGCCATTGAAAAAACACCTTTCGAGTCTAAAGTAACCTTCCAGATTGCATTTGAAGAGGAATACTGTAATCAGCAGAACCTGCAATCCCCCCAAATCTTACACTGTTGAAAAGAATCATTACAAAGTAGCCTTCCAAGACGCCATGCCAAAACACATCCATCTTTGCTTTTAGGAGCATTAATCTTGATTCAACGCAGCATATCACATGACACGGAGTTCCGAGCCCCATGGAAAACTCCACTTCATGATGCACGACCAGCCATTGAACAGCGCATTTGGCCCCTGACCGGATGATGATGCACAACCCGACCTCAGATGTGTGGCCACAGTTGCTTAGAAGCGACCAATGGATGACCACCACCCCTTACCTCCCCTGAGGCAAGATCCACATCGCGCATGTGCGCGCCGCTCGCGCTGGATGCAAGCTGATGGTGCAAAGCTTAAGGACCTAAACTGATCCGATCGACCAGGTGCAAAACTCTTTTCTGCGAAGACGGGCAGCAAATCGGGTCATTTGGAGAACAGACGACAGGCACCGTTGTTCATACGTGGTCTCACCGTTTGGCACCGAATGGAGTGTCTGGGTCTGTTCCAAGAAGTTCCGTAGCCGGCGACCGTGATACAAGTCTTCCTGTTGCTGCTTTCAAAACCTGTCTCTCCTGGTGACAGGTTGACCAAAGTGTCAAAATATGTCAAACTGAAAGGAGTTGTTTGCTGTGCAAAAAGCATTGTCGCGCCGCCGGCGCTGATGAAATTTTGGACAACGACGACTGTATTTTCGTCGAAGAAGTCATTGTCCTCGACTGTCCATTGCTGAACCACAACAATCCACACGATTGGAACTGCATCCGTGCTGGAACCAGTCGGAGTCGTCGAGCAGCTTGTCGTGGTTCTGACCTTGGCCACCCCAACAACCTGCTCGACGCCGGTTCATCAAGGTTGACGATGGCCACGGAGAACCGCCGCACTACTTGGGCCACACGCTGCGCTCGCGCTGTGCGCAACAAAACAAGCAGTGTTCATAGAGCTCATGAGGAACGACGTCTGATCCTTCACACTTAAGATCAAACGGAACAGCAGGTCCAGTGGACATTGAATGCCAACGCTGCTGCTACAACACATATAATATGAAGAGGAAGGCCCTGCAAGAAACATTCTGGCCGATGACGAATCTGTGTCTTTGACTGCCTACCCTTCTTGCAAACACTGATGGCCACACTGCAACTGATGACAATTTGCTGCACTCATGAGATCGACCAACTTCAATGCTTCCAGCCACTGCCCATCGTTCTCACACGCACTGATGGCTGCACTGTAGCTAATCACATTTGGCTGAAACTCTGCGCGCGGCATTGCCTCCAACAACGCTAATGCTTCCTGCCATGGCCCACGTTTACAGGCACTGATGACTGCACTGTAAGTGATGACAGTCGGCTGCAGATTGCTTTTGGGCAAAGTCTCAAACAAGTTTAATGCTTGCAGCCACTGCCTACCCTTCTCACATGCACTGATGGCCGCATTGTAGCTGATGACGTCTGGCTGCACCTGTCC